GGGCGTCAGAGCTCTACCTCGACAAGGTACTTTTTTGGTGCTCTATCAGTTTTTGTGAGAGATTTCTGAGTATTCCCGAGACTTCTTAAATGCATTTGAACCCAATAGGGAATGAAAACTAGTACCGATTGAGGCACTTTGTTTTGTCTGTACTCCTTGTGCAAGGGAAGTTTACTCGTTCCTCCCCCCCCCCCTCCTCTTTCGTATTTCTTCCTCCCCTCCATCCTCTCTACATCCTCCCTCCATTCCCCCTGCAACCCGTGGCAGATCAACCGGCTGCTGCTTCAGCTGCCGCCTGACGATGAAAGGCAGCAGCCTGTTCAAGACAAGCCTGTGGCACAGAAGGAGCACAGAGGGGAGCCATCACCTGCTGCTTCTGGAAATAAAGAGGCAGTTGATTCAGCTGCAGGGGGGGCGGAGACGAACGGGAGGGTGGAGGGAAGGAGGGAAGGAGTGGAAGGGTTAAGGACAGAGTATGATAGTGTGGTGGAGGAGTTTAGAGCGTTCCTCACCGATTGTAAGGATGTACTCAACGAGGCAACCACAGTCAAACTCCTGGCTAGGTGCGTGAGGGGCGGTGTTGACCTGTGTTGGCCGGTGTTGACCCATGTTGACTGTGGCTGCCTGTGGACGCCTGTAGATGCCTGTACTGGTCGTTGCATGAGTCGTCTACCCAATTATTGCGGGAATGGTATGCTGCCACGCTGGTGCTCTTGACACGGGGAGTCTATTTTTGAGGCGCCTCAAAAATAGATTCCTCAGGCATGAGTCGTCTGCCCAATCATTGCCGGGAGAGGCGGCCGGTGGTCGTGACATGGGTTGGAATAAACCATGCGGCACCTGACTGTGCGTGTGCGCTCTTTGGTCCAACCTGTGCCGAATGGTTCAGGTGTGCGTGCGTGTGCGCTCTTTTCCCAGCTGCTTCCGGGAGGAGGAGCTGGTGTTCTTTGCGGGATTGAAGCAGGGCACCTGTTGTTGACCAGCGTTGACCTGTGCTGACTTGTTCTACCACCTGTTGCTTGCATACGCTGTTCCGCAGCTATGGCCGGGAGGAGGAGCTGGTGTTCTTTGCAGGGCTGAAGCAGCGCCACGAGACGGTCCTCGAACACTTCATCCGGGTATGTGTCTGTGTGCATCGTACTCAGATCAGATCGAGTCATTTTTGTAGAATTCCCAAAAATGACTTCGATCTGCTTCACCATTCTCTTTTGAAGCTGCTGTACTAATCTCATGCATGCGCGCTTTGTAGAGCTTCGCCTTTTTCAGGCTCATGTTTCTAAGTGTTCTAGAGCTGTTGCCAGACTCATATTTCTAGGTTGTTTTTGAGAAATCTCAAGAAATTACGAGCATACCCCATCTCGTCAGTTGGTTCCCATTTTATGTCGTCCAATTTAAGTCCAACATACCCACCCCCTGCCCGGTTCTCTCTCCATCCCACATGAACGTGCAATCCAACGTGGTCGTGCCACCTCAGCAAGGAGATGCTGACTCAGCAATCGCCGTGTTGCGTCGACCATCGGTGCCTCTTGAGCTCCTGGTAGAGTCCCCCCCCTCGCTCCAGTCACTATCACAAGCCTCACAGCAGTATGACACTAGTCTCACAGTAGTATCACACTTTGCTGGTCTCAGATACTGTTTGCGCTTAAAATCATCCTGCTGCCACTATTCTGGTCACTTCAATTCAAAACCCTGCACACTCACGCTGCTCTGCCCTCCTCTTCCCTCCTCTTCCCTCCTCTGCCCTCCGCTGCCTCCCTCTTTTTGTTTGGTTTTCTCCCGAACCTTCTGCCAGTACAAGTTCTCTCCAGCCCTCGTTCTCCTCGCCCCCTCCAAGACTGTTGACCTCTGGATAATGTCTGCGTCTGCTAGCGCTTCTACATCTGCTGCTTCTGCTGCTGCTGCTGCTGCGGCTGCTGCTGCTGCTGGTAGCTTTGACCCGCGTCGACTCATCCCAGCCATCATGCGCTGTGCTACAGCTGCTACAGCCACCTCAGCTGCTACAGCCACCTCAGCTGCTACAGCCACTACAGCCGCTATGGCAGCTACAGCTGCTACAACTGCTACAGCTGTCGCAACAACTGGCAGCAGCAACCAGCCGAACGAGGCCGTCCGCTTTCTGGAGTACTGTGTGCACTCGCTGGGATCCAGGGATCCTGCCATCCACAACCTGCTCCTGTCCCTCTACGCCGACCAGAGCAACGAGACATCCCTTGTGAGCTTTCTCTCCTGGATCCCCCCACCCCCGCCACCGCACACTCTCCTCCTCTCCTCCCCCCCTCCTTTTCCGCTATCCCCTCCTCCTCCTCCTTCTCCTCCTCCTCCTCCCCCTCTGCTGCTGCAGCAGCAGTGGGGGCAGCAGGCCGCTCCCCCTCCCTCACACCCACCGGCACCGCTCTGAACCTCTCTCCAAGCCCAGCTGCTGCTGGAGGGGGGAATAATAGTGGAGAAGCGGGAGGAAGAGGAGGGGGAGGCGGAGCAGCAGGAGCAGCAGCAAGGGGAGTAGTCTACGACCCCAAGTTTGCCCTGCGGGTGTGCCTAGAACGAAGGAGGATGCGGGGGTGCGTGTGCGTCTACAGCACCCTAGGGATGCACCAAGAGGCAGTAGCCCTAGCCCTGCAGATCGACGTGGCATTGGCAAAGAGGGAGGCCAATAAGGTGCGAGAGCAGGATCTGAAGCGGTCCCTCTGGCTAATGATAGCTCGCCACGTCATCGAGCAGGGGCTGGCAGGCAGGGCCGTGATTGGCGGAGAGGATACAAGGGAGGGTGAGAGGGAGGGAGGGGCGGCTGAGGAGGGAAGTGTGAAGGAGGAAGGGAATGAGGAGGAGAATAGGGAGGGGAACGAGGAGGGGGATGAGGAGGAGAGTGAGATGAGGCAGAATGTCAGGAGAGCCATCGGCCTTCTAAAAGAGACCGAGGGTTTGCTCAAAATAGAGGACATACTCCCTTTCTTCCCAGACTTCACCTTAATTGACGACTTTAAAGACGCAGTGTGCGAGTCTCTGGAGGCATATGGGCAAGAGATCGACAGGCTAAAAGCCGAAATGACCGACGCAACCCGGGCGGCAAACACGATTCGGAGGGACATCCAGGCGCTGAGTCAACGCCATGTCATCGTGTCCACGACAGAAACCTGCGGCGTCTGCTCTCGTCTGATTCTTGCCATCCCGCCACCCCAAAGAACGCTTTTATCTGCCCCTGCTGGTTCCGCTGGTGGTGCTGCTGGTGGTGCTGTTATTGCAGCAGCAGGAGCGACAGCAACGGCAAATTTGGCGTCATCATCAGCAGCAGCAGAGACAACGCCCTTCTACGTGTTCCCATGCTCCCATGCGTTCCACATCGACTGCCTGCTCACCCACGTCGTTCAGCACTCTGATCCCTTTCTGGTAAGATCGCTGTCATAGTTGATTACATCGACAACCCCCTCCCACCCCCCTCACAACTCAACCAGATGGAGCACGTATTGGAACTGAAGAGGGGGGTGGGTGGAACTGAAGAGGCAGCTGCTAGGAGCGTGACACCATGAAACAACCTCGTCCCTCGTCCTCCCCAATGTCCCCACTTTCAGTGTGTCCCCCCTTCTCCCCCTCCCCCTCCCCCTCCCCCTCCCCCTCCCCCTCCCCCTCCCCCTTCCCCTCCCCCTCCCCCTCCCCCTTCCCCTCCCCCTCCCCCTCTCCCTCCCCCAAGCCACAAGTCCGTTAGATGGAGCGTGTATTGGAGTTGAACCGGCAGCTGCTGGGAGTGAGACAGTCTCTTCCCTCAGACTCAACCCATTCCCCTACTTTTCTGTATGCACATCTCCTCCCCTCTCCCCCCCACTCCCAACCCCCAAACCCGCCCCCACACACCCGCAACGCAACCAGATGGAGCATGTATTGGAATTGAAGCGGCAGCTGCTGGGAGTTCTGGAGTCCCCAAGGCGGCCAAACAGGCAAAGAGGAACAGAAGCAGGAGGAATAGCAGGAGGGACAGGAGGAGGGACGGATAGTGACATGGTGGACATTCATGCGGGACTGTCACCAATCGATAAGGTGCGGCTGCAGCTAGACGAAGCAATTGCCAGTGAATGCCCTTTTTGCGGCTCACTGATGGTGGCTAGCGTATCTGAGCCATTGATCGCCGCTCATGAAGGAAATGTACTCGATGCGTGGAGCATCTAAAAGTCCATGGCATTGCAGCACTTGCGGCAATAGTTATGCTACAAGTATTCTGATGTGAATTATATTACGTTAACAAATGGTTGTAATGATCGTGAACGACTCATTATGAGCATCTTCTGACACTCAGACTGAACCTGTTTTTGCCACTGACGAACGTGACAAAGCATCAGCTTCGTGCGCACGTCCGCTCAGTTTACCGTTCACATCCAAACAGTGGGGAGCTCCGAAGGATGATCGTGCCACTAGAACGCAGCCACGTCACCAAACCCGCAAGTGATATCAGATGCTTCACTGGTCGTCTTCGGTCAATCACCACTTTGTAATGGAGCACCGTGACGCGAAAGCCCTTCGCAAGGATCACGCACACACACAAGCCAGGCACCGCAGTGTCAAAAATCACGATAAGACCAACTGAAATGCGCGGCGCGGTATCTTTTCGAATGTTGTCGACCCCCCCGGTCGGGAACACAGAAATGTTGCGCCCCAGCCCACCACTGCCATTGGCCGTGGAATTGCACCTCAAAAAACGATTGGTAGTGGGCACTGCTTCCCTCTCCCGATGTTCTCGTGCGCCCTCACTCCCGCAAACCCCGCTCTCTCTCCCCTCGATTGTACATAGCTGAGAGATGCCTCTCTCTCACCCACGCCGCGGCTCGCAAGTAATACCTCGGCCGTGAGTTCGTCCCATGCCGAGGGGCAACTGTGCCTGTCGGTTCTCGAAGCGCCCGATGAGTGCGGCAGCATTGTGCTTGCGTGTCAAAACGTACGATTCCGTCTGAGAGTCCAGACCAGCCCAGAAGCAAGGGATTCCTTGCGTCACGTCACCATCACTGGCCACCGTGCCAAGGCACAGGCACTACCCAGCCATCCTGCCATCCTGCCATACTACCAGCGGGCTATCCTCGTCGATGCTCGCACTCGCAAAACTAGCGGTCGTCCCAAGAGCTCAAAACTTGAAACACAGTTTCAGGTCTTCAATCGTTTCCATGTGTTGTAGGCTGGTAGCCATTAGCAGCGCCTGTATCATTCACTCGCGACGACATTCCTGACTCACGTACCCCTCCATATGCGCGCCTTCCGCGCTTAGAAGAGAAAAACCGGCCTCTTCGGACCTCAACTTTTCCCCAGCGATTAACGCTCTAATCTATCCGAAGCATGAAGTTTAGGCGGGGTCTTCGTCGCACCGCCATAGTGCACCCCGAGCCGCACTCGCTTCTCTTTCCCCAGGTCCCCATCCGCGGCTCGAGGGACGAAGGCAGAAAGCTCGCGACGGAGTCGCTCTCAGGAGGCAATGACGCGTCTCCAGGAATCGCGGTGGCGCAAATGACGCTGGATGAGGCAATTGAGGCCGCTGCTCGCGAGCAAGCGCAAAAGAACCAACAGCAGCCGCAGCAGCCGGTAGTGACGCAGCCGGTCGTGACGGAGCCGGTAGTGACGACGCAGCCGGCAGTGACACAGCCGCAGCCTGTTACCGAACCGCAGCCACAGCCGCAGCCACAGCCGGAGCCGCAGCCGCAGCCGAACCCGGATGCGACAGGGCAGCAGGCGCCCGGCGGAGGTCGCACGGAGAAGCAGCTCTTCCCCGGCATGCCCTCCCCCGCAGTCGATCCGCCCGTCGCCAGCGGCGGGGGCGGCCTCTTCCCCGGCGGCGGAAATGGCTTCAAACCCACGCCCGCCGTGCCGACAACCCCGTCTGTGCCGCAGACGCCCTCCGTGCCGGTCGCCCCGACCACGCCTGCCGTGCCCTCTGAGCCGGTCACGCCGGGAGTGCCGTCTGCGCCCACCACCCCGCAACCCCAGCCGGGGACTCCGGTCGCGCCCACTGTCCCTGTGCCCTCGGGCCCCGCCGTCCCCACGCCGAAGACTCCCGTCGTCCCCACGCCAAAGACTCCCGTCGTCCCCACGCCAAAGACTCCCGTCGTCCCCACGCCAAAAACACCTGCCGTCCCCGAGCCGAAGACCCCCGCCGTCCCCAGCTTTCCGACGCCCAAGGCGCCGGGCTCAACTTCTGCGCCCAAGACCCCGCCTGTAACCCCTGGCGGAAAAGTTCCCCCTGGCGTGCCGAATCCGAAGACATGGCCGGTAGCTCCCGGCTCAAAAGCCGCGCCTGGCTTTCCCGGGGCCAAGATTCCCCCGGGGGCCCCCGGTTCGAAAGCCGCGCCTGGGTTTCCCGGACCTAAGGTCCCCCCTGTTGCTCCCGGTTCGAAAGCCGCCCCTGGCTTCCCCTGGCCTAAGACGCCTGTTGCTCCCGGTTCGAAAGCCGCCCCTGGCTTCCCCTGGCCTAAGACGCCTGTTGCTCCCGGTTCGAAGGCCGCGCCTGGCTTCCCCTGGCCTAAGACGCCTGTTGCTCCCGGTTCGAAGGCCGCGCCTGGCTTCCCCTGGCCTAAGACGCCTGTGGCCCCGGGTTCGAAGGCCGCGCCTGGCTTCCCCGGGCCTAAGGTCCCCCCTCTTGCTCCTGGTTCGAAAGCCGCGCCTGGCGTGCCTAAGATTCCGCCAATCGTCAAACCTGCTCCTAGCTCCACCGCTGCGCCTGGTTCCGCCTCTGCGCCTGGTTCCGCCGCTGCGCCTAGTTCCGCCGCTGCTCCAGCTTCCGCCTCTGCGCCATCCTCTCTGCCGTCCCGCCCCCACCCTAGCCTGTCCGCCCCCGGTTCCCTCTCTGCGCCGGGCTCCGCCAAGGCTCCTGTATCCGCCCCTGGCTCCGCGAAAGCTCCTGGAAAAGCACCTGGCTTTGCGCCCGGCTCTGTTCGCGCCCCTGCTGTTACGCCACCGAACAAAACCGTCACGGCGCCGGCCTCGGTCCCCCCGCCGGTCACTGCGCAGCCCTCCTTCCCCCCGCCGAAACCCTCCACCCCCGCGTACTCTGCTCTTGACCCCTTTGCGCCGAGCGTCCCCGCGAATTCGTCCGCGGCTGCGACCTCCAGCGGAAGCGGAATGTCGGCGGGAGCGGTTGCGGGGATTGCGGTGGGAGTGACGCTGGGGTTCGTGGGGCTGGTGGTGCTGGGGTTTTACTTGTTTTTCCTGCTGAGGCAGAAGAAGGACAATAAGAGAGGCGACGAGAAGAAGGGCGGCAAAGCAGGCGGTTCGACCAAAGGTGAGCACGCTGCGTGTGGTATGGTATGGTGTGTGATGCACGGTGTTTCAGGCTATGGCCTCTACTACCTTCTGTCTCGCATTCGCATTTTCCTTCCTATGCATAGGAATGCATGCATGTGCATTTCCTTCACATGCATGTACATTTTGCCTCTCAGCGCCCCTCTCTCCCCCTTCCCCCCCCCACAATCCTTCCCCCCCCCACATCCTCCCCCGCCCCCCATCCTCCCCCGCCCCCTCGCCCACCCCTTCTCCCCGCCCCAATCCCCCTTACTCCCACTTCAGCCAGCAAGGTTCCGTTCTACGCAGCGCCCTTCAAGACGCACGGTAAGCCAACCGGCAGTCCGGCAAGCGCGGAAGTTCAGGACGGCGGAGAATCCGGAGCGGCGGCAGATGCGGCAGGAGTAGCGGCAGCGGCAGCAGTAGGAGCAGGAGTAGGAGCAGTGGTTGCTGGCTCTGCTGTAGGATCCGCCCCCGGTGACAGTGCAGCGTCCGCGCCTGCTGTACCTGACGTGGCCGCTGCTAGCGTGGCAGGCTCAGGGACTGCTGGTGGCGCGGTGAGCGCTCGACCCAACGCAAGTCCGCCGTCTGCTAAAGCCGGGGGAACCCTGACTCCCCCCCCCGGTTCCGCTGGGGGCGCGGGTGGTGCAAGCCCACTGGCGAACGCCGCAGGGGGCGCAGCGGCGGCCGCAGGCACGGGTTCGACCACCGGTTTGGCAGCAGGTTCGGCAACAGCTGCCAGCTCAGCAGGAGGAGCTGCGCCAGCTGCGGGTGCGGTTGCGGGTGCTGCGGCGGGAATTACCGCAGGAACGGTAGTCGGGGCGGCAGCTGCCAAAGCATTGGCAGCAAAGACTCCGGCAGCGACGAAAGCAGCTGCTACTCCTGGCGCGGGCGCTGCTGCAGCGGGCGCAGCTGGTGCGGTTGGCGCGGGGGTGGTCGCAGGGGCGGCGGCAGCAAAGGCAGGAAACGACGAGGACGAAATCGATCCGTCGGAGCAGTGGTGGTTTCCGCCTGAGGAGCTCGACCAGGCTACTGAGCGCTTCGCGCTTTCGAACAAGCTCGGATCGGGAACTTTCGGAACGACGTATAAGGGGGTGCTGGAGGACGGGCAGGAGGTTGCGGTGAAAGTGCTGAAGGTGAAGGGTTCGCTGAGCGACGCGGCGTGGAAAAAGGATGCGGAGGAGATTTTCGTTATTCAGCACGAAAACCTGGTTGCTTATTTGGGTTACTGTCTCGCGAGCTCGCAGCGAATGGTGGTGCAGGAATTTGTCGCGAACGGGTCGCTTGACGCGGCGCTGCATGGGGATAACAAGCCAATCCTGGCGTGGAATTTCCGCATGAAGATCGCCAAGGGCGCCGCGAGGGCCCTCGCATTTCTCCACGAAGAGTGTAAGTGGCTGCGTCCCTAGATATTGCCGCGAGTGCCTTCTCTCCTCCCTTATTTGCTCCATCTCGCTTGATACTATTTATTGCTTGCCTAACACTACTGCATCCATGAAGCCTGAAATCCTTCTGTTTCTGTCTCTCTACTACAGGCACTCCCCACATTATTCACAAGGACCTCAAGGCATCTAACATCCTGCTTGATGCCCAGTACGAGGTCAAGGTGAGAACAATCACTAACTTGATCAACGACTCTACTGCATATCAAGGACCTTCAACTCCACTGCACACAAACTCATTATTATATGTAATCAAAGACCTTCAACTGCATCTCCCTCCCCCACATGATCTCTGACTCGATCCTGTAATGTTTATTTTTTCACCCCTTTCAACCCCTCTCTGCTGCAGCTAAGTGACTACGGAGCAGCTAAGCTTGCAGGAGATGCTGCCATCCCCACCATCTCTGGGTCTGCCGGCACCTATGGGTGAGCGAGCAACCACTCGTCCACACGGTGTGGTTTGTGTTTCTTGCATAGATTTCATAGCCTGGGTAGTGTGCAAGGAATCTTCTGTCAGTGATAACCAACCCAATCATGCATTGCATTCGACCAGTAGTCGAGCCTTTTCCTCTAACTGCTCCCTCCCTCCCCATCTCTGCTCCATTCCTCCATCGCTCCCCTCCTCTCTTTGCTCTGCGCAGCTATTTGGCGCCCGAGTATGCACTCACAGGCAAACTCACAGAGAAGTCGGATGTGTACTCGTTTGGAGTGATCCTGCTGGAGCTCATAACGGGGAAGAAGCCGTGTGACAAGCAGCGGGCACAGAAGGACAGTCTGGTTGAATGGGTGAGTGATGTGGTAGAGCACATGATTGCTGATTGCTGATTTGATCTCGTGATGTCTTTGTTCCGTGCTCTTACACTCTTCCGCTTGCTAAACAAGCCTATTCTTCTCCCCATACGCAACCATCAGGCTCGGCCACTTCTCGCCTCCAACACGCTGAAGGAGCTGGCTGACCCGAACCTGGATGGCTGCTTTGGAGTGAAGGAGATGGATCGTGTTATTGTGGCAGCCTCTCAGTGTGTGAGGCAGTCGGCTGTCCTTCGACCAAGCATGAGCCAGGTGAGACATGCTCTTTCACGTGTATGTGTTCTGTTTCATAGGTCAATATTTGACCTCTTTTCTCTTATGTGTACAGGTATTACGCCTTCTGGACCAGCTGTGAGTGCAGTGGTAGTTGGACGGTTAGTCAAGCATTAGGCAAATGTTTTTTTAGGCTGTAATCCAAAGCTAGGTTTGGAATTGTAGTAGGCATGCTCCAAAATAAGCACCAAGTGCAATTGGCTTGTAGTAAGTGGCTGTTAACGTATAACTGGACTGTCATGTAGTTGTGAGCTGTGGGTAACGGGTTCTATATTTCCGAGAAACAAAACCAATATGTTCGGGTTCATCGGATATTGACGTTAGGTCAGCTGTAAATATGTCTCTGCACTTACGATGCCCGATCTCTATCTGTCGGAGACCTATCGTCCCTGCCCCACATCCTCGTCCTGCTGGAGACGAGGATGATTGGTCTGCACCTCGAAAATCTCCAGGGCAACACCCTTTTTCGGCTCCAGTCCAGAGGCCGTCTAGAACACCAGCGAAAACTTTTCATTAAGCCCGCCGCCGACATCAGAGCCGTAACGGCGGGGCGAAAGCGAACTGTGCAAGATCCAAAATGGGAATTGGCCGATCAGATGGGACGCCCGTGCGAAATTGCACGACTATTCGCTGGATGAATATCGCTGACGGTGTTTCGTCCACGTCATGACGTCAAGACATGCCAGAAGGCTGGCTGGAAAGTACGTCTGCTGACCGTACATGAAACAATCTGCAGGAAAACACCCAAAGGTCAGGAAAAAGGGCACTGGGGCATGCAGATGGGCGTGCTGAGCACGGGAACCTTGCGAAGAATGTGTAGATATGTGCTTCAGTCATTCGCAGCATGCATTGGCGGAGCCAGCTGACCGAATTCATTCAAATGTTCCGAACGGGGGAAATATGTTCCCAAGGTTTCTCTGACACAGCAGACAGATGGTTTTCTTGGCCTTGAGTCCAGAGAGCCTGGAGTCTAGATTCTAGACTCTGCTTTTGCTCTCTGGAGCAGCCATCAGTGATCCAGCAGCCGCCAGGGGGTGGCCGCAAGAGCCTCTATTATAGCAGCTGTGCTGCTAAGTTGTCTCCACTTTCTCCTGACGCGCTTACCCGGTGTTTTCACCTCCCTGGTGTGTCACGCTCACTTCTCATTGTAGCCGCTCGCCTGTCTCCTAGGCGCCTTTCTCGCAAACGTCTTGAAGCCTCCCCCTCGCCGTGATAAGCTTTCGGATAAGCGCGTCATCGTAACGTTTTGAACGCAGTTCTTGATATCAGAAGAAATCATAAATTAACAAAAAAAAAAACCCTGTTGGGTAAACAGCAAGAAACTTTTCGCGCATGGCAGGTCTGTTGAAAACGGTCTCCCAAGGCAGCTGTTCCGCAGGATCAGTGCTAGCGAGCTCTCCTCAGACCAATAATCTCAGCAGCAGTATTCGCTCGGCGCCATTTTCCCGTTCCTTGGTCCCGGTCTCGCGACTTCGCTGCGCGTCTAGCGCTCTAGTTCCCTCAGTCCCTCTTTCGCGAACTTGTCAGTTACGCCAGTCGTCGTTCTTCGCTGGGGAAGGGAAGGATCGCCTGAATCTTCCGACCGATGGGTCTGCTTGTCTGTGCAAGCGGTCAGAGCAAGCGCAATCAGCGAGAAAGAGTGCTGGTGCTCCGTGCATAAGGTCTCAAGCGGCGATTTACCCCCATGAGGAGTTTAGGGGTCGGCAGCAGGACGGGCTGTCCTCGATCTGGAAGAAAACCAGGTGAGTCGCCGGCGATCCCTCCGTGCCGCTTCTAGTGTTTTCTTCCTGTCTCCTGTCTTTTGACTGCGATTTCCTGTGCTTATTCGTGGAAGGTTAAGGAGTTTACGTATTTTGCTGTTCGCGTCTCGTCAATCTTTTTTCGAAAGACTTCTCTACATTATCTCGGGTTATTCACGGCTGAAATTATTTATTTATTCGACAAACAGGCGGTCGCTGAGAAGGGTCTCGCCCAAGGGCTTCGCTGGGGAGGTCATCAAGCTCGCCCTATCTTTGAGCCGTCTGCCAGCACTATGCTTCCTCTCGTTGTTACTCTTGGTGATTTTTGAGTCGACTCAAAAGCCGTCTGACAGCACCATGTTTCCTCTCGTTGTTACTCTTGTCTCTTTCTGCCTGAACCTCCCCTTTTTCAGACGGTCGCTGCGAAGGTTCTCCCCCAAGGGCGTCGCCGGGGAGCTCATCAAACTCGCCATCCCAGCTGTCATCGCCGGATTGGCGGAGCCTATCGCTCAGCTCACGGAAACCGCCTTTATTGCCAGAACTGGTAAATGTTCCCTGAGTTCGTCATCTGTGTAAAAACTGCTGTTCGATCGCTGCCCCCTTTTTTTTCTCTTTGGTTGATGTTATCATTCGTGTCCCCTTGCATTATGCGGGTATGCAGGTGCCGTGAGTCTCGCCGCGGTTGGCGTCTCCATTTCTGTCGTCATTCAATTCAACATTTTCAATTTCCGTCTCTCCCTGTGTCTATCTTTCTCACACTTACCCGTTATTGCTTGCAGGTGCCGTGAGTCTCGCCGCCATTGGCGTCTCCATCTCCGTTTTCAACCTCGTCTCTAAGGTCTTCAACTTCCCTCTCCTCAACATCACCACCTCCTTCGTCGCTGAGGATGGCGAAGCGAGGGCCAAAGCAGGTAACTGCTCGCTTTCAATCACTGCCAGTGTTTTCACCGCCCAATGTCGCCAGGCACAGTTCTCGTTAGCAGCCATCTCGTGTTGAGGCCTGAACCTCCAGACGTCCCTAACCCTGACTGTCAGTCACCTGCTCAGTACCCTTCGACCCTTCAACCCTTTCCTAAATTTCAGTTGTGCCTGCACTGCACCTGATCTTCATTTGATGCCCATTTTTGAGTCGACTCAAAAATCGACTCATTACACACGGATTTCAGTTGTGCCTGCACTGCACCTGGTCTTCATTTGATGCCCATTTTTGAGTCGACTCAAAAATCGACTCATTACACACGGATTTCAGTTGTGCCTGCACTGCACCTGGTCTTCATTTGATGCCCATTTTTGAGTCGACTCAAAAATCGACTCATTACACACGGATTTCAGTTGTGCCTGCACTGCACCTGGTCTTCATTTGATGCCCATTTTTGAGTCGACTCAAAAATCGACTCATTACACACGGATTTCAGTTGTGCCTGCACTGCACCTGGTCTTCATTTGATGCCCATTTTTGAGTCGACTCAAAAATCGACTCATTACACACGGATTTCAGTTGTGCCTGCACTGCACCTGGTCTTCATTTGATGCCCATTTTTGAGTCGACTCAAAAATCGACTCATTACACACGGATTTCAGTTGTGCCTGCACTGCACCTGGTCTTCATTTGATGCCCATTTTTGAGTCGACTCAAAAATCGACTCATTACACACGGATTTCAGTTGTGCCTGCACTGCACCTGGTCTTCATTTGATGCCCATTTTTGAGTCGACTCAAAAATCGACTCATTACACACGGATTTCAGTTGTGCCTGCACTGCACCTGGTCTTCATTTGATGCCCATTTTTGAGTCGACTCAAAAATCGACTCATTACACACGGATTTCAGTTGTGCCTGCACTGCACCTGGTCTTCATTTGATGCCCATTTTTGAGTCGACTCAAAAATCGACTCATTACACACGGATTTCAGTTGTGCCTGCACTGCACCTGGTCTTCATTTGATGCCCATTTTTGAGTCGACTCAAAAATCGACTCATTACACACGGATTTCAGTTGTGCCTGCACTGCACCTGGTCTTCATTTGATGCCCATTTTTGAGTCGACTCAAAAATCGACTCATTACACACGGATTTCAGTTGTGCCTGCACTGCACCTGGTCTTCATTTGATGCCCATTTTTGAGTCGACTCAAAAATCGACTCATTACACACGGATTTCAGTTGTGCCTGCACTGCACCTGGTCTTCATTTGATGCCCATTTTTGAGTCGACTCAAAAATCGACTCATTACACACGGATTTCAGTTGTGCCTGCACTGCACCTGGTCTTCATTTGATGCCCATTTTTGAGTCGACTCAAAAATCGACTCATTACACACGGATTTCAGTTGTGCCTGCACTGCACCTGGTCTTCATTTGATGCCCATTTTTGAGTCGACTCAAAAATCGACTCATTACACACGGATTTCAGTTGTGCCTGCACTGCACCTGGTCTTCATTTGATGCCCATTTTTGAGTCGACTCAAAAATCGACTCATTACACACGGATTTCAGTTGTGCCTGCACTGCACCTGGTCTTCATTTGATGCCCATTTTTGAGTCGACTCAAAAATCGACTCATTACACACGGATTTCAGTTGTGCCTGCACTGCACCTGGTCTTCATTTGATGCCCATTTTTGAGTCGACTCAAAAATCGACTCATTACACACGGATTTCAGTTGTGCCTGCACTGCACCTGGTCTTCATTTGATGCCCATTTTTGAGTCGACTCAAAAATCGACTCATTACACACGGATTTCAGTTGTGCCTGCACTGCACCTGGTCTTCATTTGATGCCCATTTTTGAGTCGACTCAAAAATCGACTCATTACACACGGATTTCAGTTGTGCCTGCACTGCACCTGGTCTTCATTTGATGCCCATTTTTGAGTCGACTCAAAAATCGACTCATTACACACGGATTTCAGTTGTGCCTGCACTGCACCTGGTCTTCATCTGATGCCCTTCAATCAATCCTAATCGAGCTGCCGTTTTTCTCTCTCCGCCGCGTTTTCCTCCTGCAGCATTGGCATCCTCCTCCTCAGCACCAGTATGGCATCCAGCTCTCACTATTTCTGCCCTCTTATCCTCATTCCCTTCCCTCTCTCTGTTCCCTTCATTCCTCCACCAGCATCAGCATCCACCTCAGCACCAGTATGGCATCCACAGCAGCTGCGGCAACAGAAGCGGATGGCAAGCAAGTGATGCCAGCGGCTCTGCGGTGTTTCTTCTTTGTAGATGCCATAATTCTCGCCCCCCTTGCTGTTTTCCACTCCCTGCCCGTTTTTCTGCCCTCCCTGCCCATTCATTTTCCCGGCAGCATCGGCATCCACCACAGCAGCAGAAGTGGGTGGCAAGCGGGTGGTGCCTGCAGTGTCAGCGGCTCTGCTGGTGGGGGGCATCCTTGGGATTGTCGAGGCCATAGTGCTCGCCACTGCTGCGGCGCCCATCCTCGGCGCCATGGGAGTGCCAGCGGTGCGTGGCTTATCTTGCTACTACTCGCTTATGCCGCTGTGTTTCCCGCTGTTTTGTTCCTCTCTTCATTGTTTCTTGTCTTCCATTCGCTTGGAAAAAACTCCCGGACCTTTCATTATTGTCGTTCCAACTGTTTCTCTTCCTCCCCCCCCACCCCCTCCCCCCCCCTTTTTTTCTCGTGCGTCAGGCCTCACCCATGCGGGGGCCTGCCTTGCACTACCTCTCCCTCAGGGCTCTTGGTGCACCTGCAGTGGTGCTGGCTCTGGCCACGCAGGGCGTGTTCCGGGGCTTCAAGGACACACGCACTCCGCTCATCGCTCAAGGTAAGGCAGTGAGACCTCTTCAGACGTGTTTATTTGCCTGGTAACTGCTGCTGCTGCTGCTGCTGCACCTGCAGTGGTGCTGGCTCTGGCCACGCAGGGCGTGTTCCGGGGCTTCAAGGACACACGCACTCCGCTCATCGCCCAATGTGAGGAGATGAGGTTTCTACTTGAACGGGCTGTTTATCCCCCTGGAGCCCTTCTTCGTGTTTGCATTCAGGCTGGGTTTGCTTTTGAGTGGAAGGTGTGAGTGAGGCCTGCAGACTCAAAAGCTAGGTGAGGAGAAGAAATTAAAAGCTAGGTGAGGAGATGTAAATTAAAAGCTAGGCTACCTGAACGGACTGCGTATCGCCCTGGAGCCCTTCCTCGTGTTTGCATTCAGGGTGGGTTTGCTTGTGAGTCGACTCAAAAGTGAGGTGAGCGGAACGGACTGGACTGCCCTTCCATCCATCTCCATGAGGAGATGAAATTGTTATCGCCCTGGAGATGGATGAGTCCATCTCAGAAGTGAGGTGAGCGGAACGGACTGGACTGCCCTTCCCTGAACGGGCTGTTTATCGCCCTTGAGCCCTTCCTCATATTCGCACTTAGCCTTGGCGTCAGTGGGTCAGCCAGCCGTCACACCTCTCTATCTTAGCATCTCAACGCTCCTCTCCATCTCCATCTCCGCTCCTCTCCATCTCCCCCCCCCCCCCGAACCCCCACGCCTCCAGTGGTCGGCAACACAGTCAACGTCGCCCCGAACCCCCTTCTCATTTTCGCCTGCGGGCTGGGCGTCAGTGGTTTGGAGCAGCCTTTGCACCTCTGTCCGTCTCTCAGCATCTCCCTTCCCCTTCCCTCGCGATAGGAGTCTAGTTTTGAGGCGTCTCAAAATCAGCATCTCCCTTCCCCTTCCCTCTCCATTTTCCCCCTCCCCTCCCCTCCCCTCCCCCCCCTTTGCCTCACGCCAGTGGGCGGCAACGTAGTCAACATCGCCCTGGACCCCGTTCTCATGTTCGCATGCGGGTTGGGCGTGAATGGAGCAGCCTTCGCCACAGTCACAGCGCAGTACGGCATCGCTGCCTTCATGCTGTGGCAGCTCAGCCAACGCGTGGTGCTCATGCCGCCTCGTCTTTCCAATCTCAAACTCGACCGCTTCCTCAAGTCAGGTGAGCTTTCAGCCATTCAGTAGCTTGAAATCTCTCACTAGCAACCCCTTCTCCCTAGTCACAGGCACAGTCACAGGCACAGTCACAGTCACAGTCACAGTCACAGGCCGGACCCTCACCTCCCAGACCTGACCCTCACCTCCCGGACCTGACCCTCACCTCCCGGACCTGACCCTCACCTCCCGGACCTGACCCTCACCTCCCGGACCTGACCCTCACCTCCCGGACCTGACCCTCACCTTCCGGACCTGCTTTCATTCATCCTGGGTCTCCCGCCACCTCCATGGCAGCCCGGCACCGTACCACTCTACTGTTCCTGACTCCTTCGGTCTGCCCCCCTTATCACAAGGATCAGGTGGCCTCCTCCGGGGTCGCACGCTCGCCCTCCTCTGCACCATGACCCTCGCCACCTCCATGGCAGCACCTTATTGTTGTACCCCTCTTTACCACTCCTAACTCCTCCCTCTTGCAGGTGGCCTCCTCCTGGGTCGCACCCTCGCCCTCCTCTGCACCATGACCCTCGCCACCTCCATGGCGGCCCGGCAGGGCCACACGAGCATGGCAGCGCACCAGATCGCCATGCAGATATGGCTCGCGGTTTCACTCATGTCTGACTCAGTCGCCCTGGGCGCTCAGGTGAGGTTTGGGAAGCAGTGGTAGGAGAGTGGGAGAATGGGAGAATGGGTTAGAGAGAGGGGGCAAGGCTGCACGAGCATGGCAGCGCACCAGATCGCCATGCAGATATGGCAGGTGGATTCCCTCATGTCCGACTCAGTCGCCCTGGGTGCTCAGGTGAGGGCTTTGCTCGCCACGATGCAAGGAGAGTGAGTGAGGAAGATTGCCATGCGAGCCACCAAGATGGCGCAGGTCATGTGTGGGGGACGCCATGGCCACCCTGCTGACCTTTGCAAGGCCCTATGCCACTCTTGCCGCTCATGGGCGTCACCATCGCCACCCTGCTAACTTTTTTCTGTGTCCCATTCCGTTCCCCACCATTCTTCTTGCCACTCATGCCTGAACCTCGCACCAGACCATGCTGGCATCAGCCTTTGCACGCCACGATGCAAGGAAAGTGAAGAAGATTGTCGTGCGAGCCACCCAGATGGCGCTCCTCATGGGCGTCTCCATGGCCACCCTGCTAACCCTCATAATCTTTCTGAACTCCCTGCCATGTTGCCCCTGTTGCCCCTTTTGCCCCTTTGCCCTTTTCTCCCTGCCCTGCTGTGCGCCAGACTATGTTGGCATCTGCCTTTGCACGCCACGATGCAAAGAAAGTGAAAAAGATCGCCATGCGAGCCACGCAGATGGCGCTGCTCATGGGCGTCACCATGGCCACCCTGCTCACCCTCGCCACGCCCTATATCCCTCGGGTCTTCACAGCTGATCGGACAGTTCAGAAAGCACTCACCTCGCTCATGCCGGTACGCCCCTCCCTCCACCTTTTACTTTCCGTGCACTCAAGCGAGAGGCACTCATCTTTTCTCTCAAGCACTCAAAGCGCGTGCACCACCCCCCCCCCCACGCCCTACATCCCCCGAGCCTTCACATCTGATCAGACAGTGCAGAAAGCACTCACCTCCCTCATGCCGGTACGTTCCTCTTGTTGACCGTCTCCCTCTCTTAGACTTATCTCGCTCTCTTCGAGCAATCTTCTCTTTCTTCCGACTCTTCCATATCTTTAACTGTTGTCCCTCCTCCCTCCCGTGTGCGCCACTCTACAGTTCGTTGCAGCCACCAGCCCATCACGTCCCGCGCCCTTGTCTTCGACAGCCTGCACTACGGAGCTTCTGACCTCGCTAATCCATCTCCCATGCAATCCCTTATTCCCCCCCCCCTCTATCTCCCTCTCTTTCAGTTCGTTGCAGCCACCCAGCCAATCACGTCCCTCGCCTTTGTGTTTGACGGTCTGCACTATGGAGCCTCTGACTTTGCATATGCCGCGACTGCCATGGTATGCTCGTCCCCTCCTTCCTCCTTTTGACTCGACTCAAAAGCGCTCGTCCCCTCCTTCCTCCTTTCCCGCTGCTAGTGCCACGTGTCCGCCCTTTTCTCTTCCACTGCCACCTTCCAGTGCCCCCTCTCTCCCTTTCCGCGAAAAGGGGGGAGAAGCCTTTCACGAAAAGGGAGCAGCCTTCTCCCCTTGAGGCTGCTCCTCTCCTTGAGAGCACATTTCCTCAGTCCTCTCAAGGAGAGGAGCAGCCATTCCTGTGCCCCATCATCCCCTCCCCTCCCCCCAGATCACAGTGATGCCTCCCATTGCCAGTGTGCTGGCATACGCCCCGAGGGTGATGGGCATCCATCCATGCTTGTGGGCCAGCAACCCTCTCATCCCATCCCTCATCATCACTGCTCATATCCTCATCCATTCGATTTTGCTCTTCTATCTCTTGCTCCCCTCCCCCCCTTTCTTCCTCCTCATCCCCTCCCCGCCCCCCAGATCACAGTGATGCCTCCCATTGCCGGTGTGCTGGCATACGCCCCGAGGGTGATGGGTATCCATCCATGCGTGTGGGCCGGCAACCCTCTCATCCCATCCCTCATCATCACTGCTCATATCCTCATCCATTCGATTTTGCTCTTCTATCTCTTGCTCCCCTCCCCCCCTTTCTTCCTCCTCATCCCCTCCCCGCCCCCCAGATCACAGTGATGCCTCCCATTGCCGGTGTGCTGGCATACGCCCCGAGGGTGATGGGTATCCATCCATGCGTGTGGGCCGGCAACCCTCTCATCCCATCCCTCATCATCACTGCTCATATCCTCATCCATTCGATTTTGCTTTTCTATCTCTTGCTCCCCTCCCCCCCTTTCTTCCTCCTCATCCCCTCCCCGCCCCCCAGATCACAGTGATGCCTCCCATTGCCGGTGTGCTGGCACACGCCCCGAGGGTGATGGGCATCCATCCATGCGTGTGGGTCTGCAACCCTCTCATTATGACTGCTCGCATGCTGATCCATTCAACGTTGCTCTTCTTCCCCCCCCCCCCCTCCTACCCCCCAATCCCCTCCCCTCCCCCCAGATCACAGTGATGCCTCCCATTGCTGGCGTCCTGGCATACGCCCCGAGGGTGATGGGCATCCATGGCGTGTGGGTTGGCCTCACTCTCATCATGACGGCTCGCATGCTCATCGGTCTTGCAAGGTGTGTGTGCGTGCGCGTGTGCATAATGCAGTAATTGAGCCTTTGATGATGTGACCGTGCATACTGGTAATACATATTTGGGCTCACCCTCACTGCTCCCATGCTCGTCGGCTTTCGCACAGTGCATGCATAGCAGATGTCCCGCTGTTTTATGTTTTGGAACCGTGGTTTGAATGAACAGCCTTTTCCCGGACAATGCCCGCCCGTGGTGTTCACTCATTCCAGGGTGTTCACCGCCAGTGGTCCGTGGAGCATACTGAAGGAGGCTTCTGGTTCTGGCTCTCAGCCCCCAGCAGGCCAGCAGCAGCAACTTCTGCTTCACAAGGCATCTTGAAGGGCCCCTTTCAAGAACACGGGAATAAGGTCGGGTGCGATGAGGTGTAGGGTTGAAAGCCCTTTTGGTAGGTTTTTCACGTCTTCATGGCCCACTTGTACATGCATTAGGTCCTTTGTTAGGCAAAATGTGGAGGTTTGAGTCGGCGGATCTACACATGTATATAAGTGTATGAAGATGTGCCTTTCTATCTTTGAAAATACTTAAAAGGTCGCCCTTTTGTAATGAATAAATTTTCTATACAAGAGAAAGTGTTTGGCGTTCAGTGTAGCCAATCTTCGGAGGGAATGACGCGCTTCCTGAAAATCGCGTTTTCAATTCCCGTTGTCACGGGCAGTTACCTGAACCCCGCCGAGCGCGTTTTCTGGTATTGTATTATGGGGGGTTTTTAGGCACATCTGAGTCAGGGGTCAAATTTGGGCGTGTTGCCAGCTGATTCCTTTAGATAGGGACAAAATATTTGGGATGCCGAATCTTGCTGTTTCTTTTGACACGCGCCACTTTCGCGCACGTTTCATTGCGCACGTGGGTTGCATAAACGGACAGCAATTTTCGGGCAGTGGGCAAACAAATAAAACCCATAGGGCCACGGCATGGAATTCGGGATGGCATCAACCCTAAACTCGCAAGAGGGCCGCGAATTTCGGGTTGATGCCATCCCAAATTGCATGCAGGGCCCCTATGGGTTTTTTTTCCTGCCAGCAACTGCCCGGATTGTGTCGTTATCGGCGGTTTCGTTTGATAGTGCCTAGATGCGTCCAAAACCCACAGCACGGGAGTTCTGTGCACCAGCAGCCAAAACGCAACTGTTGTTTACGAGAGCATCGGGCAAGCCAAAATTTAGGAGTACATGGTAGAACCAACACGAAAAATGTATCCGTGACATGATAGGTAGCATCGGGAATCCAAAACGCGCTCGGCGAGGTTCAGGCAAGTGCCCGTGACAACAAGAATTGAAAACACGATTTTCCGGGAGCGCGTCATTCCCTCTAATATTTGCAAGCTGCAAATCGAATCGCGGAAAACGCGGCTCGACCGACAGCTCCATGTTCGGTCAACAGTTTTCACATGCTTCACTCAACCCCTTCTCCCCCACTCCTTGGTATCCCTCCTCCACCTTTTTAACGCCTTCGAAACTCTCGTCAAATCATTCCCACTCCCTTCCTCTCCCTTTCACTCCGAACTCCACAATTTCGATGTCCTGCTGCTCCGCAGCTACAGTACCTAGACCCTACCCCTCCCCCCCACCCGACCCCCCCGCCCCTTTGGTCCTGTGCGGCGGAGGTGGTGTTGGCGCGCAGGATCCCCGCACTTCCTCCCCCCCGCCACCCTCCCCCCGCCGCTCCCCTCTCGTCCCCCCAACCTTGGTTGCCCCTCCCGGACACCTCTCTCCTGCCGTGCTTCCCCTCCCGATACCGCCGCCTGAGCGGACGTCGGGATTCAGAAGTTTAGGAGCCACACGTTCGTCAGTCAGTTTTTGGCTTGGCCGACTTTATGTACTGAATACTGGCAGTGGGGGGCTAGCTCGAGGCTGACGTGGCAGCCGTCCTAAATGACGTGGCATCAACAAGAGATGCGACGCCGTGGCATTAGGCTCGTAAGCACGGCGTTCCTCCTGGTGGCGTCGTTTTGCGCGCAGACAGCAGGCGGAGCAGGCGGAAGCATTGGCGGGAGCATTGGCCGAAGGGTTGGCGGAAGGGTTGGCGCAAGCAGACGGGGATTGGCGCACTTTGTCCCCACGGAGGGTGCGCCGCCCCGCGCCCCCCTGCGCTTCTATCCCACCATGACTGCTCCCACCGGTCAGAACGTGCCACGTGGCGTCTCCCTGCCCAAAACTTACTACACCTCAACGCCGCAATCAGCCAACGTTACCGGAGCCGCCACTAACGCGTCCATCCCTTCCGATAGTAACGCCGGTAACGCGACAGGCCGCGGTAGTAGGAGTGGCGCTACCGCCGCCGCCGCCGGCATTACCACGTTAAAGCCGTTCGCGAGCCCGATAGGGATTAGTCCGAGGTGGGGCAGCTGGCAGTGTCAGAACAGCGCGTACTGCGGCGTGATGTACGCACCGATCGCGGTGTATATTATCTGGTACGGGAAATTCAGCTCGACCCAGAAGGCGATGGTGCGCGCGCTGACGCGTTCGTTCAACCCCAGCTCGGATGACTCTATAACGGGTATGACTTTATAACGGGTAATCTGCTTTCCAATTGCCGTGTACGTTATCTGGTCCGGGAAGTTTAGCTCGGCCCAGCCCGGTGTACTCTATAACGGGAACGCTTTCTTGAATTGCGGAAAATATCGCGGCTGGCATTTCCATTCACTCCATTTCCCCAAGAGCTTCTATTTCCTCCCCCCTCCCCCTCCCCCCCCCCTCCCCCCAACACCCCTATGGCGGAACATCAATCGCGCCTCTATTGCCCCCCTTGGTTCCCTTATGCGTCCCCCCCCCACCCCGCCTTCTTCTTCTCCCCCCCCCCCCCCCCCGCCCCCCAGCACCTCTGTGGTGGAACATCAACCGGCTGTACTATGACCGCAAGGGGCGTTTTATCTCCAGCTCCGTTACAGTTGCAGATGAAACGGACGACACAGGGTACTCCCGAGGCGCCAGCCTCACCGATGACGAGGTCAACTCGCTTGTTACATCTGCCATAAGCAGCCGAAAGTTGCCGTACGACGCCGACGGAGTGTACTTCGTTCTTTCAGATGAAACCGTCAGTCAGGTGAGATGACCGACCATACTGGCTGTGCAGATGACTAACGCAGTGAAACGGTGTGCAGCAGATGACTAATGCTGTACATGAGGTTAAGCAGAAAGACAGGGAGTGCACCTAGCCACCCTTCCCCATCCCCTTTCTCTCTCCCCCGCCACCACCACCAACCCCCACACATCCTCCAAATCCCCCTTCCCTCATCCCCCTTCCCTCATCCCCCTTCCCTCATTCCGCCCAGGACTCCCGTTTCTGCCCTTCCCCTGCCCACTTCCCCTGCCCACTTCCCCTGCCTCAGTCCGCCCAGGGCTCTCCAGTTTCTGCGCTCATTACTGCGGCTCGCACAGTTGCCCGGCCACCTTTCCCTTCGAGCCCACGCGTCTATTCCTCCCCTCTCTTCATCCCTCGCTTTGCCTCTTCCCCCTACTTTCCTCCAGTCCGCCCAGGGCTCTCCACTTTCTGCACGCATTACTGCGGCTGGCAGTGGCACAGCTCCATTCCCCCTCTGCTTTCCTCCAGTCTGGCCGCAGCTACCCCTCCGCCTTCCCTGTCTTCCCCCTCTTTGCCACCCCACCCCCCCCCCACCCAACCTCCGCCTCCCTTCCCTCCCCGCAGTCCGCCCAGGGCGCCAGTTTCTGCACGCACTTCTGCGGCTGGCACAGCTACAGGGTTACCACCATCTAGCCCTGTAGCTGTCCCTGTAGACAGCTGTCCCAGCTTCAAGGTTTCAAGCCCATACTCCCTTCCCTCTCCCATGCTCCCCCTCCTTCCTTCCAGTCCGCCCACGGACCCAGTTGCTGCATGCACTACTGCGGCTGCCACAGCTTCCACCCTCCTCTCTCCCCTTCGGGACTCATAAGCCCTCCTACCCTGCCTGACTTTTTCTATTCCCAGTCTCAGTCCGCTCAGGGCGCCAGTTTCTGCACGCACTACTGTGGCTCGTGCCTGTTCCTCCCCCCTCTTCATCCCTCTCTGTGCTCCCCCTGCTTTCCTCCAGTCCGCCCAGGGCTCCAGTTTCTGCACGCACTTCTGTGGCTGGCACAGCTACACTGACGTCTCTGGCAAGGGGAGGGCCATAACCAGCTGGGTCGGCAACGCCAAGTCCAAGGTGCGATGTGGCTTAGTCCTAGGGGCCTACCTTTGAGTCATGATCCCCTACCTTCCCTTCTTCTCTTTGCATGCGAGGCAGTGCCCCGCGAGTTGCATCACTAGCCTGATTTATTTTTTTAGTCGACTCTGAACACCCCTTCCCCCACCCTCCTTCCACCCCTCTTCTCCTTTTGAGCAGTGCCCCGGCAGTTGCATCACCAGCCTGATTTCATCCTCCTCTGCCTCGCCCAACCGCGACAAGGGCATGGACGGGTTCCTGTCGGTGTACGCGCACGAGCTGGCAGAAGCTTTGAACCTCCACATACCTTCCAACCCCCTATCCCTTCTTGCTGGCAGTGCCCCGGCAGTTGCATCACCAGCCTGATCTCATCCTCCTCTGCCTCGCCCAACCGTGACAAGGGCATGGATGGGCTGCTGTCGGTGTACGCGCACGAGCTGGCAGAGGCCACCAGCAGCCCCTTTCTGCTGACGTGGATGGACGACAAAGGGGAGGAGAATGCGGACAAGTGTGGATGGAAGTGAGTTGCCTGGGGGGCTGGGTAGAGAGGGTAGGTGGTGGGGTTGTGGAAAAGCGACAAAGGGGAGGAGAATGCGGACAATTGCGGATGGAAGTAAGAGCCTATTTCTTTCCTTCCTTTCACCCCCTCGCCCAACTTCTTTCCGCCTTCCGATCGCGGGACCCCACTCTTGCTTGCTTGTTGCTCTCTTTTTTTCTCGTGTCTCCTTTTCATCTTGTCGCCTTCATTTCCCTCATTCTCTCCTTCCATCCTCGTGTCCATCCCTGTCAAATCGAGGTGACTTTTGAGTCGACTCAAAAGTCGCCTCATTTCCTATATTCTCTCCTTCCATCCTCGTGCCTATCCCTTTCAAATCGTCGCCTTTGGCGTCTAAAATCTTTACCGTTATCTCGTCCTGTCTTCCTCCCTGCCTCATCGGCCTAATCCTTTTTTATGCACCCTCTTACCACCAGGTTTGGCACTACGAAACGTGATTCCTCAAATGCCCCGTACAATCTAGTTGGAGTAGACGGTTACAATTTCATGATTCAGCAAAACTGGGATTTAACAAAAGGTAAGTGTGCAACTACTGTGCCTTACCCAGGCTCAAGCTCCTCGTCACCACCATCGAAAAAATCTCCTCCCCCGTCAGACTCTCCACCACCACCACCGCCACCACCATTGTCAACTGGGACAGGTTTAATTGAATTCCTTCAATTTCTATGGAAGCTGTTTTTTGGATCCAATAACCAGCGGCCGCAACCACCATCTCCGCCATCTTGAAAGATGTGTTGGATTGTTGTGATGTTTTTTAGCGGATTGCCCTTCTTTGTACAGAAGTGAACAGCTCCTAATGAAGTTGGTGAGAGCAAATGTTCTTTTCCGAGCCGCATATCGGGAACATTTGTCGGTGTTGCGTTGACCAACGCGGGCCCCAACTAGCACGTTGGCCAGGTTGGGTTGGTTTGGATTGGGCTGGTTTGGGTTGATTTAGACTGAGTTGAGTTGGGTTGGGCTGGTTTGGGTTTGGTTTTGGAGCTGGTAGGGAAGCGAGGCAGGACGAAACAAGGGAAAGGGCTATTATGCACACCTGACCAGCTTCACACAACCTGCGAAATCGCCCGAAACCGGGTTTATCGCGTTCCCATACATGCCCAAAAAAGTGCCAGTTTTCCAAAACCCACAACTCCTAGAAGCCAGTGCCATGAAAACTGTGTTTAGTGGCTTCACTAGATGGCATTGAGGCAAGGTTTGTGAGTGTATTTAGCACAACGGTATTAGCGCGTACTTATGTGTCATAACCGGCCTTAGGCTCGTGCCAGGCTCAACTAACGACTCGCCAGAGACAGAACTGGGGTCGAAATCGACAGCGCGACAGGAAAATGCCGCCGCCTCCTTTCCGCCGCATCCGCTCCCCTAACCGCGACGGCAACTTTAGACGCTCACTGCCGCTGTGTTCTAGACGCTCTCGACTGCTGCTGGGGCTCCTAATCGCGCTCCTTCAGCTGACCGTTATTTCCGTCGTCGAATCGTTAGCACCAGCCGCCCCGACGGTAGGGTTCGCGACGCGACTTCATCCGCTGCTCGCTTTTCCGCTGCTCGCTTTTCCGCTGCTCGCTTTTCCGCTGCTCGCTTTTCCACTGCGCGCTTTTACGTTGCGATGCGACGACGATACCCTGGATGAGTCAGCCGCGGATGATCCACTGCTCTTGAGAATTTTATTAAACAAAACATGTCCGTTCCGTGCAGCATTTCCGTTTCGAGGCGACTTCTGCTTTTGAGTCGACTCAAAAGTCGCCTCGTTACATTGTCACACGAGACACAATTTGAGTCGACTCTTAAGTCAGCTCGTTACAGTGTCCATTGGAACTTCAGTAGTGAAGTTCCAATGCCCCCCTCAAATCTCCTGTCCCTCTCTTCTCTCGCCACCTCTTCTTCCTCCCCCCCCCCCTCCTCCCCCTCCCTCCCCACACTCTCCTGCGTTCCCGCCCCTCTCCCGACCTCCCGCTTGCCAGCGCAAAGCTCCCATCAGATACACCTTCATCAGAAGAGCCCGCTCCTTCCCATCCCCTCTCCTCTCCCTCCACTCTCCCCCCCCCACCTTTTCCCCTTCTCATCTCCCCCTTTCCCCTGGCCCGCCTTACCAGCGGAAGGCTCCCATCAGATACGCCTTCACCAGAGGAGCCGCCCTCTCGCGGGCAGATGAAGCCACTACCAGCAGAAGCCCCGATTTGCGCCAAAGGAGGGTGCTTCAAGAGACGGACACGACCGTCCGTCCCTCGGGAATAGCGCGCGTGTATAATGCAAGGTAGTGCACTGTACTGTACTGTACCTTACTGCACTGTAGTTTACTGTACAGTTCTGTACTGTACAGTACTCTGCTATGTTGTGCTGTGTGTGAGACGTGTCAGTTTCCCGGACCTGTCTGCTAAGCGCGTGTTTGTCGCCTAGCAGCAGCCTGCCATTCGCCCCTCGAGGCATAGACTACCACTGGGACGACCCAGACCCCGTGTGTAATTAGTCTATTTTTGAGTCGACTCAAAAATAGGCTCATAACACCCAGACCCCCACCAGATGGCCTTCTGTGCCGCCTGTCCCTCTGCTTCTCCCTCTGCCCCTCCCCCCACTGCGGTCTCTGCTAAGTGTGTGCCCGCCCTCCTTTTTCCCTGTCTTTTTTGTCTGGTATCCTGCAGCCAAGAAACACCTGCAGGCGGACTCGCAGCAGCAGCAGCTGGGGGAATGCCTTCAGAGTCCTCCCTGCTACCACCTGCAGCATCAGCAGCTTCGCCTAGCCGCAGTCTGCCATTCGCCCCTCTGAGCATTGACTACCACTGGGACGACCCAGACCCCGACCAGATGGCCTTCTGTGCGGCTTCACCCGCCCACTGCGGCGTGTGCTAAGTGTGTGCCCACCCTCCTTTCCTCCCTGTCTGTCTGGCTGACATCCCGCAGCCAAGAAACGCCTGGAGACGGACTCACAGCAGCCGCAGCAGCAGCAGCAGCAGCAGCAGAAATGCCTTCAGAATCCTCCCTGCTACCACCAGCAGCATCAGCAGCATCGCCTGGCAGCAGCCTGCCATTCACCCCTCGGAGCATCGATTACCACTGGGACGACACCGACCCTGACCAAATGGCCTTCTGTGCGGCTTCACCCGCCCACTGCGGCGTGATGCACGCGCCTGTGGGGGTGTACATCGTGTGGTACGGGGCCAAGTTCACAGAGGAACAGAAGGATATCGTCCGACTGTTCGTTGCGTCCCTTAACGCGGACAATAAGACCGACGCTGCTGCTACAGGTGGGTGGGATGGGATGTGTGTTCTGAGGTGCCTCTAGTGGTGCCTGTGGCGGTGTACATCCTGTGGTATGGAGCGAAGTTCAGTGAGGAGCAGAAGGGTATCGTCCGACTGTTTGTTGCGTCTCTTAATGCGGTCAAGTCTGATCCTACTGCTACAGGTGGGTGGGTGGTTACCTGGTAACCTGGTTGTATATGACAGCCCACCCCCCAACAGCACCCAACTGGTGGGCCGTCAGTCAGGACGGTATACTTGGACCAGCACAGCTGAAACATCTCTTTGTTGCCACTCTTCCTCCCCTTACCCCCTCCCACACCATGGTTCTCCCCCCCAATCCATCAACAGTTCCCAACTGGTGGGCCATCAACACGCTATACTTCGACCAGCAAGGCCGAAACATCTCCTCCACCGTGACTGTAAAGGGCGAAACCCACGACACCAACTACTCCCGCGGCACCATGCTGCTGCACGCTGACGTGGCAGAGCTCGTCCAATCAGCCGTCGGCAACAAGTCCCTGCCGTACGACCCTGCCGGGGTGTATTTTGTCCTTTCCGACGAGGACGTGTCACAGATGGACGATCCGAGTGATCTGGGCGGCGCGGGATACGCGCTGGCGTTCTGCTCGCACTACTGCGGGTGGCACTCCTTCGCCCAAGGGCGGGACGGGAAGGCGAAGGAGCTGATCATCTCGTTTGTGGGGAACGCGGTAAATCAGGTGAATGCTGGGATGTTGGGATGTAGCGTTGCCATCCTGCCCGCACTGTACGCGTTTCCATTCTGCCCACTCTAGACGCCATACTTGCAACAAAAAAAACACACAAAAAAACAAAACAAAAAAAGGGGGGGGTCGTCCTCAGACGTCTCGTAATAAATAATCCCATTCTCCCCCAACCCACACAGTGCCCAGACAAATGCATCCCATCATACCTCAACCAGCCCGGAGCCGTCCCCTCACTTTGCTTTCCTACTTCCCCTCCCCCATCCCTCCCCCCTCCCCAACCCACACAGTGCCCAGACAAATGCATACCATCATATCTGAACCAGCCCGGGGCGGTGCCGCCCAATGGCGATGCGGGCATGGACGGCATGGTGTCTGTGTTGGCGCATGAACTCGCGGAGGCCACCAGCAGCCCCTTCCTCGCCACGTGGTTCGACGCCCAGGGCGAGGAGAACGCCGACATTTGCTCCTGGAGGTATGGATACGAATGGTTTGGGGCGGTTTTGGAATGGGGTGGTGAGACGCTTTTCAAAGGGTTGGATACCGGCATGGCATGGAGGCTATCTGGCGTGCTTCTCCTCCTGGTCTCATCTTTGCAAATATGGTGATGTGGTTTCTCACATGGCCCTTTCCCCTTCTTGGCCCTGCTTTATGATTCTTATCTCCTGGGCAGTTATGGCGACGTGGTTTCTGATATGGCCACGGGTGTGCAATACAACCTGGTTGGGAAAAATGGTGCACAGTTCCTCGTGCAAGCGAACCTAGACCCCAGAGCTGGAAGTTGTGCCATCTCACCTATCGATGTCAGCTCATCCATCGTGGGTGATCCCACTGTTGTGGGGACGCCTCCAAGCGTGGATGTGCCGGAAGAAGAGCCACCTCCATCGCCACCATCTTTCCTTGAGAGATTAGTAGATTTCATCACAAGCCTGTTCGGCTTTTGATTAGTGAATTATTATCCACAACACTATTTTTATCGTGTTCGGTCTGTCTGCTCCTGGCGGTGGGCACTGTCGGAATTACTGTAGGCAGTCGTTTGAGTCAACCCACAGCCAAATTCCCCACACAGCTCCTGCTAGCAACAGCAAACGACAAATGCGGCAGCCAATCAAGCGCATTGGCGACTTTTCGGCGTAGAGGAATCCCCACCACACATGCGACTCGCCGACACGTCGTGCACCGAACACCATTTTTGGTGACTTTCGTCAGGACGCGTAGTAACCAGGTCGTCAAATGAACACAGAGATTTCTCACTGTCGCAATCGCTTCGCAGCAGGCGCTTTCGCTCGCGGTTGTTGATAAAGCCCCCCCACGTCTCATCTCACTCCACAACGCAAGCTCAACCTAGCACCATCACTTCTTCGACTTTGCCAAATTATCCCCCTCCACACGGCAACAATTATCCCAAATCCCAGTGACTCGAGTTCAAAGCTATTTCGTTGCAACAGTCTCGGCCTTCGAGCAAGTTCACCACTTTCAACTCTCGTCCCTCGCCGCACTCTCCGAATACCGCGATCACTAGAACCCTCGCAGCGATGGCTCCATCTTCGCGTCGCCCGTTTTTTCCGGTCCTCATGCCATATTTTCTCCTCGCGCTCTGGGCCGCGGCGTTTCTCGCCGTATCATCAGCAAGCGCCCTGTTTCCATCCATTCCGGGAAGCGGCACGCTAGGCGTAAGTCTGAGCTTACCTTAACGTCGAACTTTAACGTCAATATCACTCTCCATATTGCGAACTTCCCCTACCCTGAGAATGCTTGGACTAGCCACACGGGCCCGCCCGAGGCCCGCCCGAGCACGGCCCGAATCGTGAATCGTGAATCGTGAATCGTGAATCGACCACATTCCTGATTTTTCTTTCCCGCACGCATCATCAGTCGTTCAGCATCTAAAGACCGCATTTTCATCTGCATCCCCCCGCGCTTCTCAATCCCTGCCCGTGTCCGGCCAGCAATGGAGCGCGATGCGCCAGAAATCCCGGATCTCATACACGCCCATCCGCGGCTCTAGTCTCATGAGGCGCGGCCTCTCGGAGTCGGAGGTTGCGAGCAGCAGCAAGGACGGCACGATGCGAAGAAGGAACCTCCCAAGTGGCGTCAGAGCGCTCATCGATACGAGGTAAGCTGACCTTATGTAGTCGTCTCACGAGGCCTTGTATCTCGGAGTCGGATGTTTCGTCGTATTGTGCGACGGGACCAGTAGTCTGCACCTACCGCGATCTCGCTTTCGGGTTTGGGTGCTCGCACACACAAGCAATGCGTATTGTGCTACTACGACTAGTAGTCGTAAGCTCAACCTACTACGACTAGTAGTCGTCTCATGAGATGCGGTCTCTCAGAGTCGGAGGTTGTGAACGGACTCAGCAGCAGCAGCAGGAGAATGCGGCAAAAAAGGTTCCCAAATTGCATCAGAGCGCTCATTGAGACGAGGTAAATTGAACCTCGGGCGCCCATTGTAGGTAGCTCGAATTTAATCTGCTGCATGCCTTGAAAGATTGCGCACGGAGTCTGTTTCTCTGTAAAGCTGATGATATTTGTCTGTCCCTTCGCCCACAGCAACGGCGCTCAAGTCAATTCCGCGTCGAATCCTGCTCCGAAGAACATCGAGTATCATTGAGACAACCCAGATGCCGCCTACATGTGCTCTTCAAACGCCAAGTACTGCGGAGTCATGTACCAGCTCATCGCGGTGTTCCTCCTGTTTACCTTCTGTGTCTCATACTCCCCTGTCCTCTGTCCCTTTGCCCACAGCAACGGCGCTCATGCCAGCTCCGCGTCAAACCCGGCCCCCAAGAACATCGATCACCACTGGGACGACCCAGATGCTGCCTACATGTGCTCTTCGAATGCCAAGTACTGCGGAGTCATGTATCAGCCCATCGCGGTGTACCTCCTGTGGTACGGTCAGTTCACAGAGGCGCAGAAGCAGATCATGCGGACGTTTATCGAGTCACTCGATAGCAGCAACAAAGACACCTCCGTGACTGGTATGTTCCAGAGCCCCATATTGTACTCTTAGTTGTTTATTTCGTATGCACCAAAACAGAATCTGAGCTAACACTGCTCCTCCAGAAATTTAGGTAAAAAAGCAGAGAGAATCCGTAGCCACTCAGTCACTATCCTGAACCCAGCCAAACTTTTTTCCAGCAGAGTATTTCTGGAGAGAGCTTGGAGACACAAACCAGCCTTTGCACCCAACCTTCTCATACCCGGAACCCACAGCATGAAGCCGTCTCTCAACGGCTTTGATCTCGTCCCAAGTATCTCCCTCACGTTACCTCCTTTTCCACCCCTTCCTGCTCCCATTCCCAGCAGTCCCCAATTGGTGGAACATCAACCGCCTCTACTACGACGCACAGGGAAACTACATTTCCGGATCTGTGACTCTAAAGGGGGAGATGGACGACCCAGCCTATTCCAAGGGCACCACCCTTTACAACTCCGGCGTGGCTGATCTTATCTCTTCAGCTGTGAACGACGGAAACCTGCCTTATGACGCAAACGGGGTGTACTTTGTCCTCGGAGATCCCAAGGTCGCGCAAGAGGACGACTCCAGCTACACTCCCACAGGCTTCTGCACCAGCTACTGCGGCTGGCACGCGTACACCCACGACAACCTCGAGCTCGTGATCTCCTTTGTCGGTAATGCGGTAACCAGGTGCCCCGAGGGATGTATCCCGCCGTACCTGAACCAGCCCGGGGCAGTGCCGCCCAATGGCGATGCGGGCATGGATGGCATGGTGTCGGTGTTGGCGCATGAACTCGCGGAGGCCACCAGCAGCCCCTTCCTCGCCACGTGGTTCGATGCACAGGGCGAGGAGAACGCCGACATTTGCGCGGGTGACTACGGTGATGTGGCGCAAGATGCAACCACAGGGGCTTACTTCAACCTGGAAGGTGTCCGGGGCTCTAAGTTTATAGTGCAGGCGAATCTTGACCCAGTTACTGGCCGCTGTGTAATGCAGGCTGCTGGGCCGGAAGCTGTGGGAACCCCGAGCCAGCCACCCACCACACCTGTCCCCACCCCGAGTCTTCCCCCTGTTTCAGAGCCACCTGTTACCGTTCCAACTCCTCCGGTTACCGTTCCAACACCTCCGGTTACTGTCCCGGAGCCACCTACGGTTGTTACACCTGAGCCACCTGTGACAGAAGGCCCTCCTCAAACGACAACATGGGAGTCTTTTGTCTCTTTCATCAACAGCTTGTTTGGGTTCTAGTAGCTACGAGCAACATGTACACATGTTTGTTCAAAATATAATTTCAGTTGTGGGATTCATGTGATATATCAGCATGTTTGGCCATGGAGCACTAAGAGATGCTAGTAACTTGCAATCATTCTCGTTCAACAAGAGTCCATGTTGGGGCATACTTCATGTGCAACATAGATACACAACAATAAGAATAGACAAACACATTCAAGATCGAATCATCCCCTGCGTGATAACCGCATGAAAGTATGTATCCGATTAAGGAGGAGTGCCACTCCTTATGGCACTTCGTAGAAGTAGGATGCTTGGTCCTTTTGTATCAAAATAACTTAGGACTCTGCTTGCACTCCGTGCAATTGCGAAAATATAGCTTGTATTCCAGTATCGAGTATTGGTCAAACACGGGAGGGCAGATTGGTCACAGGATCTCCCACAGCGTTGCGGTAGGTCCACCAGTCCAGTGGCAAAACATAACTGTTATTAACCCTCCATTTGAACACACACGGCCCATCAGAATTCCTACACGACGCGGCGCGGGCAGAGATCAGGCGAGTATTTTGACCGGTGCGGGCAGCCAACCGTCTGCCGATTAACCCTCCAGCAAACCGCGTGCCAGGCAGGCAGGGCCCTCCCAGCGAGGCACCGAATTTACGTGCTAGGCTATAGTCTGGGGCGACAATTGGAGCAGGAGAGACGACAAATTTCGGCAAGCAAACGAGATGCGCGATTCGACGTAGCTGGGAATGGAAGGCCTGCGATGCGATGTGATCGGTGTAGCCTACGAGACGTGGGAGAGCCGCGCCTAAGGGCACCGTCCAAACGAAACATATTCCAAACTAGCCACACCCACTTTCTGACCGCACTAAATCGTCTCGGTTCGTTCACGCTCATGCATCTCCGCCTGCCCTAACTGCTTTCCCAGGTGACCAAGCGACGCATCAAACGTTTTCACCGGATGGTGTCAGCTGCCCTCCACGGCCACCAGGATTCTATCCCAACCAACTGTTTCACATCAATTCGTGCTGCCCCGCAGTCCCTTTTTTGCGCCCCTCAAATGTTTTCCGTCTTCCCATGCCGAATTTGAACTGGTGCATCGACGTTCGGGATATTCCCACAATGCCACTTCAACGCCTCTGAGGTTCGTTTTAGGCTCCCTGTGCTTCACTTAGCTAGCGATCCGCCACTACCCACCGATCGTCGCGAACCACCTCTTGTTCCCGTGTCTCCCTAGAGCAAAGAGAGGCCCAACACAAATGTATCAACGAGAGGGCCACCCACTTCCCCGTTGCGAAGCAAAGTGACCACCACCGAGCATTCCTCCCACGTTTGGTCGGCGTAGCCACGTCAGCGTTGTTTGCGGCCCCTATCTTCACGCCTCACGGGAGGAGAACTCCCTGCGGATAGCGACTTTGACTTCCCAGCACAAAACCCAACCGGCGATACTCAGTCACTGCTCAGCACTACTACGATCCTCGTGGTCGAGTCTTGATCGAGTCATAAGTCCAGTCTTAGTCGATCTCGATACCAGCACCCAGCGCTTTACCTAGCTAAGAGTCTCTACTAATCAGCAGGACTCCATGGCGTTTACTTCCCACTGTCGTCGGTCGGCGTTTAGTTGTCACTGTCGTCGGTCGTTTCCTCTACGAGCCATCGTCGCACTCGTCCTCTTCGCCGCGGTCTCCAGCATCGCCTGCGCCCGGCCGCACAGACGACTCCTCGTAAGTCGCGCGAAACTCCCACCGCGTCGCACGAAACTCTTATCTCGTCTCGCGAAATTTGTTTACCGTATCCGTCTAAGCCCTTGCCTTCTCCCCGTCGTCTCCCGCTTCCACCTCTCAACTCGCGCCGCGTTAATCGGCTTACAGAAATGGCCTAGGTGTACAGACCGTTACTAATGTTCTACTTCCTTTCCCCCTTCCTTCATTTTTCGAATCGGCGCGCAGAAATGGCGCATGCGCACAGATGACGACCTGCTGCTGCGCGGAGCGATGCCGCAAGGAATCGCGCAAGTCATCGACTCGAGGTGAGCAGTCCTCGATATACTACTTCCTCGATATACGACTTCCTCGATATACTACTTCCTCGATATACTACTTCCTCGATATACTACTTCCTCGATATACTACTTCCTCGATATACTACTTCCTCGGTACTACTTCCTCGGTAATACTTCCTCGGTACTACTTCCTCGGTAATACTTCCTCTGTACTACTTCCTCTGTACTACTTCCTCTGTACTACTTCCTCTGTACTACTTCCTCTGTACTACTTCCTCTGTACTACTTCCTCTGTACTACTTCCTCTGTACTACTTCCTCTGTACTACTTCCTCGACATACACTCGTGTAGTTGAAAGTTCATGAAGCCGACTGAAGCACGCTCATACGAATGTTTTCTCGCCTCGTCCCTCCTCCATCCCACCCGTTTCCTCCATCCTCATTCTCTCTCTCTCTCTACCCTTTTTCTCCTCCCTTCCGTCCCTCTTCTGCTCTGTACAGTGTTAGCGACCCTGGCCCCCCTCCTCCGTATACCGTAAAACCCGCCACTTCCGCCGACTCCGCGTCCTCCGCTGCCCCCTCCGCCACTTCTTCCGCCTCCCCCGCTTCCGCTCCCGCCGCTTCCCCAGAGGCGGTGAGCCAGATGATCGTATCAGCACTCCGCGGGTCACCTTCCGCCTCCGCGGCTTTCCCCCCGCGCGGCTCCCCTTCCTTCCACAACATTGACCCGCATTGGGATGATACCGAGGTTTCGAGCGTGTGCAGTCCCGATACAAAGTACTGCGGCGTTATGTATAAGCCGATTTCAGTGTACCTTTTGTGGTACGGCAAGTTTACAGAATCTCAGAAGCAGATCATCCGCACGTTTATCGAGTCACTCAATAACAGCAACGACACCGACGCTACAGTTCCCAGCTGGTGGAACGTCAACCGCTTATACTACGACGCTTTGGGCAACCACATTTCCGCATTTGTGACTCTAAAGGGGGAGCTCGATGACGCGGATTACTCCAAGGGCCGCACCTTGCTAAGCACCGACGTGGCGAACCTCATTTCGTCCGCGGTTACCAGCAAGCGTTTCGCCAACGACCCCAATGGCGTGTACTTCGTTCTGGGAGACACGTCGGTGGCTCAAGAGGACGATACTACGCCCGAGCGGTCTGCGTTTTGCAACAACTACTGCGGCTGGCACTTCTACACGCGGGATCAGCTGGAGCTCCCCATCGCCTTCGTCGGCAATGCCGTCACCAGGGTAAGAAGCACTGACAACCCGCACAACCGCACCCAGCCCATGCATCTGCAGTTTCATCTTCCGAGACCTTAGTTGTTCATCCTGGAATTGCTGCACATGCTTTTTTCCTTCCACGTTTTTGAGAAGTCTATCCTCCCTTACCCACTCCTCACTCTGCTTTCCTTCTCCCCCTCCCCCATCCCTCTCCCCTCCCTCCCCCTTCCCCCAATCCCACAGTGTCCCAAGCGATGCATCCCTCCCCATCTCAACCGGCCCGGAGCCGTGTCCCCCAACGGCGACCTGGGCATGGACGGCATGGTCTCGGTGTTGGCACATGAACTCGCAGAGGCCACCAGCAGCCCCTTCCTCGCCACGTGGTTCGACGCCCAGGGCGACGAGAACGCTGATATTTGCTCTAACGAGTACGGGGATGTGAAGCGGGATGCGGCTACTGGAGCGATGTATAATATGGTCGGGGTGAGAGGGTCGCGGTTTATAGTGCAAGCGAATCTGGACCCTGTAAGGGGGGCGTGCTCGATCGAGGCGGACAGGCCTGGAGCGGATGTTCTGACGAGTGAGGACTTGTGAAAGGAGGTTGTGTGAGTGTGGAGGAGTGTGGAGGACGAGAGGATGCGACGAGCTTCACGCCAAGACGGCTCCAATCAGATACGGACCGTCGACGGAGACACACGGCACAGATCACCTCGTCACCCTGCCACCCTCCCTCCCTTCCTGCAACCCCCCTGCACCCATTGCACTGCATTGCACCCCTCTCTTCTCCCTCCATTGGCGAACAAGACTTCCCAAATAACAGGCTCTCAACTCTAGCGTAAGCCACCTGTTCCAACTGCAAGCCCTCCCTCTCCTCCCTCACCTCTCTTGCCTCCCTCTAGGGCTTGCTCTTCAGACGCTGTGGCAAGGCAGCGTGTTTCCCTAAAAGGGTGACCAAAAAAGCAGCGGCTACAATATAAGGCGGTACAAGGTCTCTCGGGAGGCCACGGGTGTAGTAGTAATGGTGGCCTTGGATAGGCTGAGGAGGGGATGGGGGTGCCTAACCTGAGACCTTTTACCGCCTTGTATGGGATATTCTTAAGGAAACGGATATTTGAAATACCTTGTTGGTACATCTTATAGTTTATTGCAAGGAATATCATTGTTGAGATAACAAATGAAGCATTGATCATCATGTAGTGTGCATTACGATTTTTAATTCGGAACCTCGAATGCTCCCCACGAATTTGTCGTGTGGTGATCCCAAGGTTCCCCTGAAACCTTCCAGAAATCGGATAGTTGATAACTCCGAGAAAACTGCCAAGAATTACCAGAACTTCGTTGCGCACTGCTGCTTCTGCTGGCTGTAGCACAGTCTCAGGTTTCTAGTTCATATTCCCATCCCCGTTTGCACCAGACGGCGCCCCCGCGAGTATTTTCCCGCTGCAGGTAGTGCGTAAGCCATTTACTTTTCTAAGAGCGACTGGGGTCTAATCGACTGGGTGAACCGGTCTGACGCGAATCCATAATGGACGACGAAAGGTGAGCGACGTTTAGGTGCGTCTTCAAAGACTACAGGAGCCACTTTTGAAGACGTCTCTAACGACGACTGGTAGTTGGCCGACGCGCATCGATGCTGAGTCTCTGATGCAAAATAATTTCCGCCGTTCTTTTCTTCTTTTTCTTTTTATTTAATGTACGAAGTTGAACGTTTCGGCGGGAACAGAGTAGAATACATTACTGCCCGTTCGATAAGATTTGTCATCGTTGGCGCTGAAACCAGCGCATCCATCCGGTTCCCCCGTCCAACCCCCGTCCTTTCCCCCGGCCGTAATGAGTCGATTTTTGAGTCGACTAAAAAATCGACTCATTACACACGGATTTGTCATCGTTGGCGCTGAAACCAGCGCATCCATCCGGTTCCCCCGTCCACCCCCCGTCCTTTCCCCAGGCCCTTCCCCCCCCCCAATCCTGGCCCCTCCCGCCCACTCCACTCTCTTATCTTCGTAACCTCTTGTCTTCCCCACTCCCTTATCTTACCCACTCTCTTATCTTCGCCACTCTCTTTTCTTCGCCACTCTCCGCAGCCCCGAGAGGGCGCGGGGAGCGCAGGGTCGCTGGGTCTCCGAGCGGATAGAAACCGTCGGATCAGATCTCCCACCCGCAACCAACGGTGGATTTCGCGGCGGCCCCAGCGGCGGCAGAGGTGGAGGCGGAGGAAGGGGAGGGGGCGGATGGGGAGGGGGAGGCGGAGGAGGCGGAGGAGGCGGATGGAGGGATCAAGACCGCTGGCGCGGCGGCGGTGGAGGGGGCTATGGGGACGAGGGGAGGTATGGCGGCGGGTTTAGCAGCAGCCAGGGGTATAACCGTGATGATGAGTGGGGGAGGGGGAGGGGGAGGGGGTGGGGGGGGAATCGGAACCAAGAGCAGGGGGCCTTTGGGGGAGGAGCGGAGGGGATGGATATGGATGTAGATGCTGGTGCGGCTGCAGCTGCTGCTGGTGGTGATGGTGGGGAAGGGGCGCCTGCTTTCGTGCATCCCGACCCTCAGCACATACCGAGATCAGCTCGCTTCTTCCTGGTGAGCCTTCCAGAACTGGTTGTTTTTCCTGTCGAGTCGTTTCAAAAGGCATCCCGACCCTCAGCACGCACATCCCCAGATCAGCTCGCTTCTTCCTGGTGAGCCTTGAGCCGCTCCGCTCTACAGCATGGATTATAGGCTCTTCTCAGTACTACTTAAAAGTTGTACACCGACTAGACACCCAAAATTTACTCCTCCCCTCCCCCTTCCCCTTTCCCCCCCCCCTCTCCCCCAACCCACTCCCCTCCTCCTGAACCCTCTCCCCCTTTGGCAGCATGACGACCGTTTGAATGAACCTGTTCGTCGCCGCCGCCCCCCTTCAGGTAAGGCCCGCCTGAGGTAGTCCTCTACCGTCAGGTAAGCCCTGCCCTTGAATAAGCACTGCCCGCAGGTAAGCCCTGCCCTTAAGGTGAGGCTGAATCTATGGAATCGCTTCTCTGAAGCCCGGTGGAGGCTTTATTCCAGAATGTACTCTTCCGTTCCCCCCCCTCTCCGCCCGCTGTTTCTCCCAGATTACTCCACCCTCAACAGCAGCACATGGGGCCCGAAGCCTGGAGATTCTTCCTTTGATGTGGAAGACGAAAGGGATGTGGAGAGAGGGCGGTGTAAAGAGAGGAAGAGGGAGCGGGAGGGAGAGAGGGGAAGGGACGGGAGCAGGGGAAAGGATCGGGGGAAGGAACGAGGAGGGGAGGAGAGGGAGAGGGATGGGGATAGGGAGAGGGATAGGGATAGGGACCGGGAGAGTAAGCGGAGGAGGTATGAGGATGATAGGGAGAGAGGAGAAGAGGGAGGAGGGAGAGGAGATAGGGGAAGGGGGTCAGGAAAGGAGAAGGCGGAGGAGGACCGGTGGGGCCATGACAAATATGAGGAGGGGCAATCAGAGAAGACGGTGGGGCGTGAGAAGAAGGGGGCGGGCTTGCGGGAAAAGGAAGCGGAGGTGGTTCCAAGGAGGAGGAGCTTTGTTGTTGCAGGCAAGGCCGAGAAGGGAGGAGATGCTGCTGCTGCTGCTGCTACTGCTGTTGATGGTGGTGCTGGTGAAAAAGAGCGGGAGAGGGAAAGGGAAGGGGGAAGGGAGCAGAGGAGGAGCGATCGTGTTGAAAGAGGCAGGGAGCGGGGCGAGCGCGCCCGGGACTGGGTGGAAGAAACAGCCAAGTACCGCGGGCACTACTACTATGGCCGTGACCATGCCTACCCTCGTGCTGCAGAGCCTGGGCGTGGGTATGGCGATAGGTCCGGCGATAGGTCCGGCAATAGGTCCGGCGATTGGTCTGGTGATAGGTCTGCTCGTAATCAGTCGAGTACGGGGATTGGAAGAGGGGGGAAGGCGCCTCTGGGTGATGATTGGAGGGATGAGGAGCAGCCGGTGAGGGTGAGGAGTTTCAAGAGAGAGGGAGGAGGGGAGGACAGGTGGCAGCATGACAGGTTTGGCGACGTGGCTAAGAGCCCCACGCCTCCGCCGTCTGTTGCTGGTGATGCTGGTGTTGGGGTTGGTGGTGCTGATATCAATCGGATCGAGCAGCTGCTAGCAAGTTAGCATGGTGATGGGGTGATTACAGCAGGTGGTAGCAGCAAGAGGGAGGGGCGAAGGCGCCTCTGGGTGATGACTGGAGAGACAAGGAGCAGCCGGTGAGGGTGAGGAGTTTCAAGAAGGAGGGAGGAGGGGAGGACAGGTGGCTGCCTGACAGGTTTGGCGACGTAGCTAAGAGTTCCACGCTTCCCCTGTCTGCTGGTGGTGGTGGTGATGGTGCCGGTGTTGGTGATGGTGCCGGTGTTGGTCGTGCTGACATCCATCGGATCCAGCAGCTGCTAGCAAGTTAGGGTGGTGATGAGATCTCATGACAGGTGGTGATGAGATCTCATGACAGGTGGTGATGCTACTGCTGCTGGTGGTAGTGCTGCTGGTGGTGGTGCTACTGCTGGTGTTGATGCTGGTGGTGATGCTGCCGCTGGTGGTGTTGGTGATGCTGATATCAGTCGCATAGAGCAGCTGCTAGCAAGTTAGGATGCTGAGGAGATATCATGACAGGTGGCAATGCTGCTGATGCTGGTGGTGGTGGTCCTGCTGCTGCTGCTGCTGGTTCTGTTGCTGGTGGTTCTGTTGCTGGTGGTGGTGCTGCTGCTGGTGGTGCTGCTGCTGGTGGTGCTGGTATCAGTCGGATCGAGCAGCTGATTGCAAGCGGATGGCCGAAACTGCTGACGCTGCTGGTGGTGTGCGGGCAGCGGGTGGTGGGGGTGGTGTTGGTGGATTTGGCAGTTTTGGCGGTGCTGGTGGTGCTGGTGGTTCTGGTGGTGCTGGTGGTGCTGGTGGTGCTGGTGGTTCTGGTGGTGCTGGTGGTTCTGGTGGTTCTGGTGAGCTGACTTTCTGTCAGGGTCGAACACAGTACAGTAGTTGTTTACTAAAATTGACTTGGCTTGGACCATTTGATCTGCTATATCCATTTCAGCAATGAACGGTACTAGTTAAACAGAATCATAAATGTAGAGAGGGCACGTAGTTAGCAGTATGAGTAGGGAGTGAACTATTGCCCCACTCTGACAGGTAAATCAGACTAGATGGCTCGAGCAAACACCCACATTGCATGTTTCTCCGATATACATATGCCCTCGCAGCTTGGGCAGTCTTGGCCAACTATCTTGATGAAGGCGCCCTCCAGGGTTGTGCGGTGTTGGCAAACCCCCCTCGCCCGGACTGACATGTGCTCTCACACCGAAACAATCTGCATTTCCCTCCCATATGTGTAGTGCACTAGGTGCATCATAGTGTGTATCATAGGTGAGGGCATCTCCCTCCCTTATCTGAAGTGCACTAGGTGCATCCTTGCGTGTATCATACTGGTGTGGCTTGGGCAGTCTTGGCGATCTTGATGAAGACGTCTTCCAGCGTAGTGTTTGTGAACCCCCACGCCCGGATCGACATTTCCTCTCGGACCGAAGCAATCGCCGCAAACACGTCCGCCACCTCCACCTCAGCCATGGGCATCTCAAACTTTTGCGTGCCCGCCAGGCTGTAGATCCGCTTCGCATTCGGGCAGATGGAATTCACGACCCGCCCGATGTTCTCCTCTTCCTCCAGGGGTGTGGTAACCGTCAGCACGTATGTCCCCCCGTAACGTGTGGTGAGCTGGCGTGCGTTACCAATGCACTCAAACTGACCGCTCACGAAGATACCCAGCCTGTCACAGAGAGCTTCTGCCTCTTCCATAGAGTGAGCTGTTGTGAGGGGGGAGGGCAGGAAGGGGGGTGGGGAGGTTAAGTTGGGTTACACAAATGCCTCGAACCGACCACTGAGAGACAGGTAAAAGTGGTGCAAAAGAGGAAGTGCTATCAAAACAAAACAAAACAAAACAAAAGGCAAGAGAACGCGTGGTTCATTTTTTTAACACGATTGTATTTTGAGATAAACGAAAGAGAGAGGGAAGGAGTACAACTCACTCGTGAGCACAATCGCCCTGTCCTTCTTAGCAGCCTTCACCACATCCCAAAGCAGCTTCCGCGAAGCGGGGTCCAGCCCGGTGCTGGGCTCGTCCATGTAGACCACAAGGGGGTTGCCTATAAGGGAGATGGCCACGCTCAGCCGCCGCTTCATGCCGCCACTGTACTGCCCCGACACCTTGTCCCCCACGCCCCCTGCCAGCAGGTTCACGCTCTTGAGGGACTTGTCCACTGCGTCCTTTAGCTCCTGGCCCCGCAGGTTCTTGAGCCGCCCGTAGAAGAGAAGATGCTCCCTGCCGGTCAGCTGCTCCCAGAGAAGACTGATAGTGGGGGGGAGGAGAAAGAGTCATGGGAAAGGGGAAGGGGGGGGGGGGAGGGAGGTCAGATGGAGGGGTGAGTGAGGCTCCGCTGTACTGCCCCGACACCTTGTCGCCCACGCCCCCTGCCAGCAGGTTCACGCTTTTGAGAGACTTGTCCACCACGTCCTTCAGCTCCTGGCACCCGCAGGTTCTTCAGACGCCCGTAGAACAGCAGATGCTCCCTGCCGGTTAGCTGCTCCCAGAGAAGATTGCAGGAAGAGGAGGGGCGGGAGGGGGGGCCAGTAGAGAAGGGAGTGAGGGGGGAGAGAGAGGGAGGCCCCGCTGTACTGCACCCTCCCTGGAATTCAACACAGGCACATCAAACCACACTCACCCCCACCAAACCACTCTCAACCACCCTCGAGTCAGCGCTACTCACTCGTGCTGTGGGCACACCCCCATAATCGAGTAGATCGCATCCATATCCTCCACAATCCCCATGCCCTCGATGATCGCCGCGCCCTCGCTGGGCTTTAAGAACCCCATCATCATGCTCAGCGTGGTCGTCTTGCCCGCCCCGTTTGGCCCCAGCATGCCGAAGCACTCTCCCCGGGCCACGGCCACTGAGAGATCCCGCACGGCCACCTTCTCCTTGTTGCCGTCACGCCCAGGGTAGACCTTGCGCAGATGGTCACAGATTATGGAGTAGTGCTGGTCCGAGGACGGGGGGTCGTCGGAGTGGAGGAGGGAATCCACCAGCGCTTCCTGTCGGGGGAATAGAAGGTGGTGGGCAGAAGGTGAACGGAGTGGGAAGAGAGGGGAGAGATGGGGCGAATGAGTACAGGTTCGGATTCAGCATGCCAAAGCACACCCATTGGGCCACCGCCAATGAGAGATCCCTGACCGTGAATCAATCGCATCCCATGCAACCACCCATGCAACCACCCATGCAACCACCCATGCAACCACCCATGCAACCACCCATGCAACCACCCATGCAACCATCCCATGCAACCACCCATGCAACCATCCCATGCAACCACCCATGCAACCATCCATGCAACCACCCATGCAACCACCCATGCAACCATCCCATGCAACCATCCCATGCAACCACCCATGCATGAATCAAATCCCAACTAGACAGGAAGAATAGCAGAACTACATACCTCTTCCAAAACATCGGGCTTGTCCCTGTCGCCCTCCCCCTCCCCCCCCCTCTCCCCATCGCGCTACTACTCCTCCTCACCCCCTCCCCCTTCTTCCCCTTCCCCTTGAACAGCTTGTGGAGCCCCAGCAGGGGATGCTTCCGAACGCCGCTACCCACCGCAACCACCTGATCCAGGTACAGCCCCACCAGCAGGAAAACGAGCGCCTCTATAAAGAGGATGAGAACTGCCGTGAAGAAGCCTGTGCTCTGCGCCGACTGCCACGTCAGCGTGCCGCCCGTGCCCATCATGGCTGCATCGTACGCTGACGTGGCGAAATCGTAGAGGCAGTGGTAGATGGAGAAGGCAGGGATGAGCTGGAGAACGATCACCAGAGCGTCTGGTGGTGAGGCGGGGGAGGGGAAGGGGGGGGGGGTTGTGGGGGGAGAGAAAGAGAAAGAGAAAGTGGGAGGGATTGAACATGAGTAGCATGAGTTGGTGACCCTCTGTATAAGTCGTGGAGGCAGTGGTAGACAGAAAAGGCAGGGATGAGCTGGAGAACGATCCCCACAGCGATTTTTGAGGCGCCTAAAAAAACGATCCCAACAGCGTCCGGTGGGTGGTGGTGAGGCGGGAGAGGGGGGGGGGGGAAGAGAAAGAGAAAGATGAGTTGGTGACCCTGTGTTTGGATGGAGAAGGCAGGGATGAGCTGGAGAACGTTCACCAGAGCGTCTGGTTGTGGTTACAGAAAGGGAAGGGGGGGGAATGGGGAGAGTGAGTAAGGGAGGAGCGACAGCATTCAACCAAGTCGTAGAGGCAGTGATCAATAGACGGAGTGATCAAAACAAAAACAGACTCATTACACGGGGAGCAGCCAGAACAGGAACTGTGCGAGGAGCCCGGTGCCAAAGACGTCGAGGTAACAGACGACGGTGGCGACCTTGGAGTTGTTGGTGACCTGCCTGTTTGCCTTCCCTTGACTAGCGTTTGACCGTGTTTGACTTACTTGACACGGTGCTGGATTCGAGGAAGAGGCGGAAGAGGAACTGCGCCAGGAGCCCGGAGCCAAAGACGTAGAAGTAGCAGACGATGGTGGCGAGCTTGGAGTTGTTGAAAACGGTGGAGGTGAGGAGGGAGAAGGAGATCTGCGTGAAGATGAACACGCCGTAGGCGAGGAGCTGCAGCCCGATGGGGTTGCCTGTAAACATCTTCAGCTCTGGGGAAAGGAGAGGGGGGAAATGGGACCAGAAGGGGGGAAAAAGAGCGGTGGAGGTGACGGGGAAGAAGGAGATCTGCGCGTGAAGATGAACACGCCGTACGGCAGCAGCTGCAGCCCGATGGGGTTGCCTGTAAACATTTCAGCTCTGGAAAGGGGGGGGGGTGTGGCATCAGATAGAGGGAAGGAGGGAGGGGAAAAGCGAGTGGCAGAGGTGGGTGAGGGGGGAGAGATAGAGATAGACAGATAGAGAGAGAAACGGGCAGTCAGAGAGAGACAGATAGACAGGCAGGCAGGCAGACAGACAGACAGACAGACGGACAGACAGACAGACGGACAGTCGGATGAACAGGCAGGCACACGTACGGATGATGAATCCAGCTACAAGGAACACGGCGATGAAGGTGATGGACATGATGGTCAACTACGAGTACGAGATGAGGTGAGGACGGAGGGGACAAGGCACACAGCCACTGTCAGACAGGCCGAGACAGGCAAGCATTGCCACTTACGAATGATGAAACCAGCTATCAGAAACACGGCGATGAAGATGATGGACATGATGGTGAAGTACGAGTACGAGATGAGCCAGTACGGCCCGTCTTTCAGCCCATGCATGCGCATCATCATCCGCAGGTTCTTCTCCTTCTCATACACCAGGCTCGCGGTGAACACCGGATACAGCAGCTGGAGCAGCCACAGGTAGAACAGCGGCCCCAGTATGGTCGCCAGGTCCACCCCCACCGAGTCCTGCGGCCGGGGGAAGTCTTTCAAGTACAGCAGCGGGATCGTCGCGTTCGGGTTAAGCATGGCTTTTACATAAGCGTTGGCGGCGAGGTTCATGGAGCGGGGGAAGCGGATGAGAGCCGAGGCGCCGCCGAGGGCCCAGGCGCGGGCGTAGGAGGAGTTGTACCAGATGTAGGGGCGGAAGAGCGAGGCAGAGGAGTTTTGGAAGTCGTAGGCTGACATGTACTGGTTCGGGACCTTGTTGGGGTTGGCCTGGTAGTACCCGTTATAGAGCTCCTCGTTTATGGCTGCTGTGGCGTTGCGCCAGAGGGAGAGGGTGACGAGACACTCGATACCTGAAGGGTGGGGGGAGGGAGGGGAGAGGGATGGAGGGGAGGGGAGGGGGAGAGAGTGGGGGAGGAGAGAGGTACTTTGAGCCAGCCATCGATGCATCACTTCTCGGAGGCATACGCACACTAGCCATGATAATGGTCACACAAGTCGATTTTTTAGGCGCCTCCACAACTGAGGCACACACGAGCCATGGTTATGGGCACACAAGTCGTAAACATTCATCCATCGGGTCACAAGTCGTAAACATTCATCCATCGGGTCACAAGTCGTAAACATTCATCCATCGGGTCACAAGTCGCAAACATTCATCCATCGGGTCACTCACGGATGGTCGTGTTGAATCCCGAGAAGGAGACGTTGAAGCTGTAGGGCAGCAGCTGGTACTTGGTACAGCTCGGCTGCACCAGGTCGATGGTGGCTAGGGCATGTGAGGCACAATCATCGTCATTCATCCAGCAACCCACTCACGGATGGTCGTGTTGAATCCCGAGAAGGAGACGTTGAAGCTGTAGGGCAGCAGCTGGTACTTGTCCTCACTACAGCGGGACTCACTAAGATGGACTCACCACTGAGTACTTGGCATCAAAAGGGAAAGCCACACTCACGGATGGTCATGTTAAAGCCAGAGAAGGAGACGTTGAAGCTGTAGGGCAGCAGCTTGTACTTCACACAGCTGGGCTGCACCAGGTAGATGGTCGTGCTCCTCACTTTGCCTGTGTTGCCCGACGCCACTAGGGCCTCCTCCATATACAGCGACCACCCACGGAACGTGCTGGACCCGGGCGGCACGTACGCCAGGTCGTAGGTAATCGCGGGGATCATGTACGACGTGCTGGTGTAGTTGAACACGCCGAAGTTGGTCGCGTTCGGCCCATTAGGGTTGGCCAAATTGCCGAAGCCCCCGGCCATACCACCCAGCGCATTACCCCCCGTGCCACCGCCGCCCCCACTGCTGCTGCCCGTGTCTTTCTCCCAGTTACCCGCTTCCTGAATCACCCGCCGCATCACGCTCGCTGGCAGCACCTCGTCTGCTCTCCTCAGGTTTCGCCTCGCCGCCGGACCAGGTGCGGCTGCTGGGGGCGGTTTCAAGCCTGGTGCTGCCGGACCTGGAGGTGCCGAGCCTGGGCCGGAGGCTTGGTTGAAGGGAGGGTCGGTGAGGTAGAGCTTGACGCTCTGCTTCTGCTTGGCGGTCTGCAGGGTGAAGAGAGGCACGTCCGGGATGAGATTGGCGCCGATTCCTGCAGGGAGAGAGAAGGGGACAGGAGAAGGGGACAGGAGAAGGGGACAGGAGAAGGGGACAGGAGAAGGGGACAGGAGAAGGGGACAGGAGAAGGGGACAGGAGAAGGGGACAGGAGAAGGGGACATGAGAAGGGGATTCCCTCTCCCTTCTTCTCTCCCCATTCCCCTCTCTCACTCCACCTATACATTACATCCCACCCTCCCCTAACGACTCACTGTCAGCGATCTTCCGGTCCTGCCCCGTGTAGAGCACCGTGTTGAAGCACGGGTACGTGCCGTTGCCCTCCATGCTCGTGCTCTCCGCGTTGGAGAAATTCGCTGGCTTCACCCGGCAGCTGCTGGGCGGCAGACCCGCCTCCAGCGCGCCGCCCGACCCCCAGTCTGCCGCCCGAAACCGCTCGTCCGGCACCTGTAGAAACGCCGGCCACGCTGGCGGGTGCGGAAACTCGCAGAAGGCGATCTGCTCAAGCTTGTCGGTGTACTGCGGGCCGCAGACTTTTCTTCCGGGTTGGCAGGAGCCGTCGGGGTTCTTGTACTCCGTGGGGCAGCCGCAGCCGCACTTGAAGCGCGTGTTGAGGACGGACGCTATGAGAACTTGAATGAGGAAGAGGAAGAGGCACATGAACGCCGGCAGGCTCACCAGACACAGGTTGCTGCCCCAGTTGCGCTTCTGCGACGGGTGTGAGGAGCAGGGAGCGGGGGTGGAAGTGGGGGTGGGGAGAGAGGGGGAGGAGAAACATCAGGCGCATGTGATGAGTTGAATGAGGAAGAAGGCCGGCAGGCTGACCAGGCACAGGTTGCCGCCCCAGTTGCGCTTCTGCGGGGGGTGTGGGGAGAATGCTGAGTGTTATAAGGTGGGGAAGAGGGAGAGGAGCGGGAGGGGGGTGAGAGAGGGATGAATGAGGAAGTGGAAGACGCACACGAAAGCAAGGATGCTGCTGACGGTACAAAATCTGCTGGCTCAGTTGCTTGCGGGGGGAGGGAGCGGGTGGGAGCAAGGAGAACGAAGGGTGTTGGCGGGTTAAAGCGAACAGCCACGCAAAGCGGCGCATCCTCTGTCCGTGCCAGGCATGCGGCTTTACGTGACAGAGGATGCGGCTTTGCGGGTGCCAGGCATACGGCTTCACGGATCGTATCGCATGAAACACGATTTAACGTTTTACACGTATTTAAGGCTGTCGCTCACTCCAGGAAGACACCCAGAAACAAATCCATATCGAGCTACTTAATATCGTGCACGGCTGTGTTAGGCTTTTCAAAATGTTAAAAAAACATGACATCCAGAAACAGATCCATGATAACGAGCTACTGTCGTGCAAATGGGTGCGGCTTGGCAGGACGACCCAGGAATAAGAACAGAAACGCATGGCACCTAAAAATAGGGTCTAGATTCATTGCATTTCTTCTGACAAGCGCGTGCGCTTCTTTCCCAGCTGAATCCAAGATACCCTAACGCGGCTGTGGAACCTACCGGCCCGGCTGTGCTTCCCGGGGTCCGCTCGTTTAGATCACACCGTGTAAGCGACATTTCTCTACATTACAACGCAGTCGAGACATAATTCTTCTCCGCATAGCAGCATGCATACCCAGCGAGCCTGATCATTCTGCATTATAGCAAACGACCGTGAGACGTGCGTAACAGACGACCGTGCGTGCCTGACAAGCGATCATGCGTACCTGTCAAGCTATCGTGCGTACCTGACCAGCGATCGTCCGTACCTGATAAGCGAGGTTTCTCCGCATGATGGCGTCGACTTGCGTTCCGAAGGTCGTCGCGAGCTTTCGCCGCCGCTGCTGCGTCGTCTTGTCCGCATACCTGCCCTCCTTCCTCACCAACTCGGCCTCGGTATTCACGCTGCCCATCTCTACTTCATCCATAACGAGAATCTACGCCGGCTAGCGGGCGATAGGCTGATAGGCGACGCTGATAGGCTTCGGTATCTACACCAGCCGATTCGCTTCAAGCAGGAAACAAAGTCTTGTAATGGGAACCTAACTTCCAGTCTCAGTGTCTCAGTGCTATAGTCAGCGTCAGACGCCGATCTCGGCGACTGTAAGGGCCTTCAATAAAAACAAGGAAGTCAGGCCTGGAAGGGAATTCTGGGATTGAGATTGCTGAACTTGGAAACTATCCGATCGGCAGCAATTGCTGGCTTTTCGGCGAATTCGGAGGGATGGCTCAAGGAGCGGCCTGACTACAACACAGAATTGCTAACTCGTTATGTTTGTATGCTTGGAGTCCTAACCTGACAGGCGATACTACCAAGGTTGTTTGAGAACTGGTGGTAAGAAGCAATGGTGAAACGGAGTTGAGAGCTGTGCAAAAGGCGGGGTTTCAATAGAGTCGAGAGATGACACGAAACGCCAGTTCGGCTCTGGAAGCTGGGAGGAAAGAGCTGCGGATGCGCGGAAAACGTTTGCGCTAGCGGTGTCAATGCGGTTCCGCGGGTTTCAGCGCGTTCCTAGGTTGACACGGTCTTGAAGGATGGTGGGGTGCTTTCTGTGCCCGAGGGAAGATGAAACGAGTTAACGGCACGCGAATTTGGCATGCCGAGGGGAAAGCGGGGACCACGAATGTGCGGACGACGAGAGCGGGGGGGGGGGGGGGGATCGTCCGCTTTTGTCGTCGCCAGCCACCACCGTCTCTCTTCCGCCCTGTCGCTGCGTTCATTCGTTGCGTCGCCTGCTTTCGCCCGAGGGTGGTGTTGCCAGCACGACACTGCCGCTGTCTCTCCCGTGACCCATTCTGTACAGTACACTGCACGATGACACCGATTCCCCGAGGAATCAGCAAAGGTCATGTCATTCCTCGAAGTTCCGCTACTGTAAAATTCGCTCTGAAGGAAATCGGCACGACGGTACAGTGAAATCGGCGGGCATCCATAGGTTCACCGCACCACACCTCAATCACGCGCATCAGCGACACGCGCAAACCTGAAATGTTTTTGTGCATGCAAGGGTATTGGCGCTTGCGGGGTTCGGAGGGCAGTTTGGGAAGCGCCATGCGAAACATGTGCGATGAAAATTATGGGCATCGAATTCGAAAACTGCCAGCGCTTCGCGGGCACCAAATTCCTCGAACCAACGGTCCATCTCAGCAATAGGAGTAACACGTGGCGTGTTTTTATGCCATCCACCGGCCTACGAACTGTCAAGATGCCGACCTTGCACCGTGGGCCTAGGTATTATCGACCAATTGGACATGCCCAACATGAGGTGTGGTTGGTGAAACGAGAAGCCTTAACGAATAGCTATACCGAATGATTCAATATTGTATGTACAGCACTTGTGGGCCACAACCAGAAACGAATTTTCCCATTGCGCGCTCATTCTGCTTGTGGGAGGTGAAACGTCACAATCGAGGCCACTCGTGATTTGACGGAGATGCGAGCGATCCACACAGCTGAAGTCTCTCGTTTTGAACCGTCGATGTCCTGTGATTCCTGAAGATCCAATGATGGACAAACCCAAGCCCTCGCCAACTTCACCTGATAGCGACTCGAGATGTCCAGCTGAACCAAATTTCTCCAGCCAACCTCAGCAGCAAGCTTGACACAAAAACTGAACGTTGAGGGAGGCGGGGCTAAAGAAACCAGACTGTGAAAATCACACAGAAATGCAGAACTGAACAGCAAACAACAGAAGAACAGCAGCAATCGTACGCCAAATATTCGCAGCAGACTGGGCCCTTAGCGGTTGACGAGCAGCAAGAAACCGCTAGTGCTGTCAGCTACTGGAGACTAGCGGAATTCGATACTGCATCCAGCGATAACCGATCTCGCGCTACTAGGCTAGTGACGAGCTCGCGGGAAAGCGAAACTATGCCGCTCAGGAGGCTTGATATGCAGAGGCTTATAATGTCTCACAGAGCATCTCATTCTCGGCGGCCCGTTTACCAAGATGGTTCAGACTCCGAGGCGTTTCAAGCCTGTCTCGCTAGCCTCATTAAGCATGGCACGCGAAGTACTCGCGTTACTACTAGTAGCAGTGGTAGCGGTGCCTCTTCTATCTGTCGCCTCTCCACGTGCCTTGCGCGAGCAAGACCATCTGCAGGAGCAGAAGAGCCATGAGTTGGTGTTTAAGAATTCGCAAGACCGCTCGCAAGGGCAGAGGAGCCATCATGATGTGGTATCCTCCAAACGGGCTTTAATGCGACGGCGAGGCCTCAGCGGTCTGCCTCTCCTTCCCTCGCTTAAAGCCTTCCTGGCGCTCCTAGAGGGACGTTCCTCCCCTCCTCCTCCCCTCTCCCCCTCCGTCAAACGGCCTCCTCCGCCCTCTCCATCCCCTCCCCGGCCCCAATCTCCCGCCGTCCGCACCCCCCCTTACCCTCCTCCACCTTCCCCGCCTTCCCCGCCTTCCCCGCCTTCCCCGCCTCCTCCGCTACCCCCTAATCCTCCCCCGCATTCCCCGCCTTCCCCACCTCCGCCTTCCCCCCCCTCCCTCACGTTTTCCTCCGCGGATTTCATCGTCCAGCCCAGGCGGAGGGGCGACCCCTTCTTCACCGCCACTCTTGCGCCTCTCGGCCCTTCCTCCGCCCCTGCCCCTTCCCCTTCCGCCTCCGCGTCCGCCTCCGCGCCTGCGCCGGATATGGATTCCGCCCTCGGTGCGTTTTTGCCCACTGAAGACCCGGACAATTTCTCGCCTGGGGGGCCGAACCTCACCAATCCCAACCCTCCCGGTTCCGGTTCCCAAGGCAACGGCGGAGGTTCGGATGGAGGAACTGGAACTTCCGAACCTGAAACACCCCCTCCTCCTCCTCCGATGAAAAGGTCCCCAGGCTCGGTGGAACTGACGTACGGTGGCGGGCCGGTGAAGCACGAGCCTATTAACGCGTATCTACTGTACTATGGCGAGTGGGAGTCTCCCTCGTTCACTATAGAGAATTTCATCAATTCTCTGAGCCTCGACCCGGACACTTCAGCGGGTTATGGCGAAGCCGACGGCTATGCTGGCTGGGCTACTGAGGAACCAGCAGGGGAAGAGGAGGTGTCTTCTGGGCAGGTGGCGTCTGTGCGGGATTGGTGGAAGGTGGTGGGTCGGTACACGGGACGGGACGAGAGCAACCCTCGGCTCATCGTGAACGTGACTGATCAGGTGCGTTTTGGAGGCTCGTTCCATGGCTGATTTAGTTTGGAGGCTCGTTCCATGGCTGATTTAGTTTGGAGGCTCGTTCCATGGCTGTTTGGAAAGCCTTCTGCTATCTCCGTACTAATCGTGCCATCAAGTTGCATCTATTCCTCGTCTTTCTGCGCTCTACTCGCCTAAGTAGTGATGGTCTATGTCTCCGCTGCTCTGTTTCCCTCTGTCTTGCAAGCAGGTGATTCTGGCCGGCTCAGGCAGGGACAACTACTCTGCGGGAAGTGATCTGACCGGCTGTGAAGCCTCGGTTGAAACAGGCAAGCTTCTTTTTCATCCTCCGCGTTTCAAGCATTCCCCAACCCATGTTCGCAACAGGGTGCACTTTCTAGCCTCTCATCTCTACATATCTTTATTCATGCACCCATATGCTTCTTCATTCCTCTACCCTGTGCTGTTTCTCTCCCCCTCTAATGCAGTTATGAGCAACGCTCTGAACGACGGAGCCATGCTGCCAGTGGACGACATGGCCATCTACTTCATCCTCGCATCCCCCGACGTCGCGCTAGCAGCGCCGTACGAGAACACCTACATGTGCGACGACTGGTGCTACCTGCGGCAGCAAGTGAACTTCACAGCGTGGGATGGCTCCACCAACAGCATCCGATATGTTGTCATTGGCGATGCCAGCCAGTGCCCAGAGAAATGTGCACACCTCTTCGGCCACCCGTAAGCATCCTGGTAGAGGTCTCATGATCAACTTTCAATTCTACTAGTTTGTTATGATGTGTGAATCACTGTGCTGGCTTCTGTTGCTTTATTCTTTGTGGGGTACTCCTGCCCTTCCCCCAACCAGGAGCTCTCCAAATGGCAACATTTACGAGGATGCTGCGGTGAATGTAATCGCTAGGGAGCTTGCGAGCTTTGCCACCAACCCGGGGGGTGATGGGTGGACATACTATGCTAATGGCAAGTCATCTGCGCCACTGGAGAACAAGGATGTTTGTGAAAACGAGTGGGGGGCTTTGGTCGAAACTGATGATTACAACTACAACCTGGCTGGTATTGCAAGCGTGATGTACACTGTACAGACTATTTGGGACCCGACAACAGAAGCGTGTGTATTAGTAGGATGACAAGCCATGATTGCGATGTCTGTTGTGCCATAGCGATATTAGTATGGACATTCTTGATTGGTTACAATGAAAAGAAGGTTCTAGTCAACCAGGCTGTGCAAAGAGTGGGGAGATAAGAAAGAGATATTGTTTGGTTTTGCATGAGTCTTTTTGTACAATTTTACTCCCATCCAATTAATAGTGAAAACGTGTGTGCAGTTTTCTTGGCCTATTTTCTTGTGACACAATCGCGGATTCTCGTCCAAGCTGGTGTGGCGACGAACTGGCGAAGAGGCACACAGCTGGGCGAACCTCAAGGGGTTACACGCCCACTTTCGTAAGACTCCTTGTGACTGTTTTGCTAGCCTACTGGCAACGCCTGCGGCGGAGGCAGGCTAGGCTGGATGGATGTGACTGGCGGTGCCACAGCTGGTGGGCCTACTATTGCGCGCTCCGCAACACCGCGTCCCCTGATGGATCCGATCTGTCGGTTTGCGCCAGCACCAAACTCTCTGCGCGCATACTCCCCCCATTTTGAGGCCACCCGTCCGCGCGTCGCGTGCGTTTCATGTCAGCGTACGCGGAACAGTACGGCGTACGGGAAAGCGGTGCTGCGTGAATGGCAGGCACCGTTGGGGGAAAGTGGGCGGAAGCTGGAGAGCGGGGCGGGGAGACGAACACAGGTACCCCCCACGCGAAGCGAAATTCCAAGTTGCGCGGAGCAACCAAGCTGTTGTCCGCACGAATGCGACGATGTCGCAAGAATGCGAGCGACGCCTGGAAGGAAGACGACCGTTGCCTGAAGACACTGTACCGCTGAGCCACCGCGTGCTACCAAACTGTATTCTGGAGGAGAGAGTCTCCTTGCCCTTCCAGCCTGAAATATCACAAAATTCTGCAAGCTCTCCTCTCGGCACTCCCAAGGAAGCTGCAGATACCTCCCTAGGAATTCGTGGCGGTAGCCTGACGGTGCTAAGCAAAGCTTTCCTCCCAGCTAGATCGGTCGAAGAGCCTGCAGCGTGCAAGGCAGAGATACTCGGTCGTGAGTCTTTCTGTGAAAAGGTGTCCTATCGTCCGTCCTTAGCATTTTGCGACAGAGATAACGCGAGCTGTAGTACTTGAAGCCTCCTAGCTATTTCATCAGGCACCGTACCACGAGCTTTAGTTAGCTTCCTAAGCCAGAATCTACGTTCTCTTAGTAGGAAATCGGAAGGACCTTTGCAAAAAGTCCTTCCCGCATTTAGTTACAGAACCTAAGAAGCTTACCTTGCTGTGCTTCCTGTTTTCTCGTTGAAACACGACCTTGGATACTTGAATATAACTTTCTGTCCTTGGAACCTCGCCGCCATGGGTACTAACGGAACTGACGGGGTCGATTTAGGTACCGATTATAGCAATGCGGGACCCCCTCAGCCAGTAAGAGTGCGGGGAATAAAGCTCTTCTTCCAGCAGTTTAAAGCCCTCATGATTAAGAACGCGCTGTTAGCATGGCGGAACCGAACCGCGACCTTCCTGCAGCTCTGCTCGTCCTTCTTCTTCATCCTCCTAGTCTTCATCGTGGACGTGTCCATAAAAGCCGCGTTGACTAACTACACGGAGTTCCGCGACACGGCGACTCCTAAGGTGGTGGAGGTTCAGCCAATCATGGCGTGCCAGAACGCGATGAACATAGTAAAGCCGTGCTACGACTTTTTGTGGAGCGGTAACAACAGCAGGATCATCACATCGCTCGTTCAGAACATCTCGGCGAACAATCCTGGCCGTCCGATCCCGCCATCCAGTGTAGGTCACGGAGAGTGGACACTACGCACGGCCGTCCTGGCCGTCGGATTTTGCGTACGCTGATACTTTCCTGTTACAAGTTCCAGCTTTTTTCTCTCTTTTTTCCTCCTTTCTCATGGAAAACTTGCTTGTTCAAAAGCACTCACTCGCCTCTTCCCAGGCAGAAAAGACACGCATGTCACGGAGATGATAGCCTAACACGCACACCCTCACCCCTCTTGTGACTTGTCCTCGTCGCCCCACCTTGTTCTTCCAGCTCACCCCTCACCTTCTCCTTCTCCCTCACGTTCTCCCTACGTCCACCTCCTAACCTCACCTTCTCGCTCACGTTCTCCCTACGTCCACCTCCCTGACCTCACCTTCTCGCTCACGTTCTCCCTACGTCCGCCTCCCTAACCCCCCTACTATCCCGCTCGTTCCAACCTTGCTCCCCCTACATCCAAATCGAATCCGCAGATCATCGGATTCGCGAACCCAAGTGACGTGGATACCTGGCTGCTGGCCAATCCGATGCGGACACCTGGCGCGCTGCACTTCGCGTTCACGGAGAAGGGCGACCTCGGGTTCGCCGTGCAGACGAACTCGACGGCCAAGTTGCACCGCGGGACGTTCGAGAATCCCACGTTCGACCACCAGGTGCCGCTGCAGGCGGCGGCTGAGAGGGAGATCGCCCGATACATCGCGCAAGGTGTGTTTCTGGAAAAGGGAAGGGTGGGAAGGAGGGTAGGGGGATGGTTAGCGGGAACAGGGGAGATAGAGAAACGAACCCGTGTGTAATGAGTCGATTTTTTACAGCAAGGAGGGTAGGGGGATTTTTTATAGAGAAACGAACCCGTGTGTCATTACACAAGGAGGGTAGGGGGATGGTTAGCGGGAACAGGGGAGATAGAGAAACGAACCCCACATTCGACCACCAGGTGCCGCTGCAGGCGGCTGCGGAGAGAGAGATCGCGAGGTTCATTGCACAAGGTGCGTAGTGTGCGGCTGGTATTGGAAGTCGCGGTGCAAGGCAAAACAATGTGTGTATGAAAGCAGGGAAAGCACATTATGTGTGGAATCTACCCTGAAATCACTGAGAATATAAGCTCCACCGCAACACATTTTAGGAACCTAGCAGGGCGAACTAGCTGTTTCGAGAAAAGCTATTCAGCTCACCTGTCCTTCTCAGCAATCCCTTGCTCTACTACCCTCCCCCTGTCCACCTCTCCCCATCTCCCACTCCTTCCCCTCTCCAGACTGGACTCTGGGCTGGCAGCCCATTACTCGGAGTTCGCCCATCCCGCCTACTGGTCGCTCTCCGCCATCCCTCTGGCAGCAGCCATGTTCAACCCTCCCGTTCCCTCGCTTCCCTCCCCGTCCCTCCCCCTTCCCCTTAATCGTCCTCTCACTGTCCCTCCCAGACTGGACCCTGGGCTGGCAGCCGAGCTACTCGGAGTTCGCCCATCCGCCCTACCAGTCGCTCTCCGCCATGCCTCTAGCCGGCCCCACCTTCCTCTTCGCAGCCGCCATGTTCAACTTCGTCACTCAGGCTGCCAACCTAGTCCTCGAGCGCGAGCTAAAACTCCGCCAAGCCATGGCCACCATGGGGCTGATGGACTCGGTGTTCTGGAGCACGTGGCTGGTGTGGGAGCTGCTGGTGGCGCTGGTGACGTGCGTTCTCCTCATCTGCTTCGGCATGATGTTTCAGTTCGCCTTCTTCCTTAAAAACAGCTTCGTGGTGCTCTTCCTCGTCTTCTTCCTCTTCTGGGTGGCCATGACCGGGCTCGCCTTCCTCGTCTCCACCTTCATGCGGAAATCCGCCAACGCGAACACGACCGGGTTCTTCATCTTTATAATCGGATTCGTTTTGCAGCTGATGGTGCTGTCTGGGTTCCCCTACACGTCGGATTTCTCCAACGGGTACCGGATTCTGTTCAGCCTTTTTCCCCCCGATCTGCTCACGCTGTCGCTCAAGTACCTGAGCGACGCCACTAAGCTGCCGCAGAACCCGGGGGTTTCGCTGGGGGAGATCAACAAGTGCACCCTCGGCAATGCAGGCTGCACCAACACCCTGGTAAGCAGCAGAGGCACTTTACAGTCACTGAGGCTTTTGATTTGACTTAAAGGTCAGTGAAGCTGGGAGAGACCATCAAGTGCACCCTCAGCAATGCAGGACGCACCAACACCCTGGTAAGCCACCCCAGAACACACTGTGTGCCTTCCAAATCGACTCACTACAAGTAGTTTCTCGTTATCGATCCCTGTTACCCACCATCCGGCACCAACTCCCGTGGTTAGCTTCGCTGTCACCCCCCATCTCACCCCCCATCTAACCCCCCATCTCACCCCTCTCCTCTGTCCCACCAGGCGAGCGTGTACCTGTGGCTGATCGGCGACTTCGTGATCTTCTTCCTCCTCGCCATCTACTTTGACAATGTGCTGCCAGACGCCAATGGCATTCGCAAGCCCATCCTCTTCTTCCTCTATCCCTCCTTCTGGACTGGTGAGCGTTTTGGATACTGGCTTACTGTATGAGTCAGTTTAGTGCGTACGTGAACATTGAATGGCATTCGCAAGCCCGTCGCTTACGTCCTCCACCCCTTCTGGAAGTACCAGTAAGCTGATTCAAAACACAGGTCTATCATCTATGCGTCACATAACACCGGCAGCAGCCACAACCACCCCTGACTATCAGCCTCCCCCCTCACCCCCTCCCCCTTTCACTCTCCCCATCTCCCCCTCCCCCACAGGCAAGGCTTCATTCGCCCATCACAGCGGCACTCCCAAGGGCGACGCGGGGCTGGAGAAGGTTGGGGAGGACGACGAGGATGTGAGGGAGGAGGAGGAGCGAGTGAGGGGGCAGGCGGAGCGAGGGGAGGTGGATGCTGACATGGCGGTGTCTGTGCGGGGGCTGGTGAAGACGTTCCCCAAGAAGTTGAAGAGGAAGGGGTTGTGCTGCAAGATGATGCCGCCCTTCCATGCCATCAAGGTGTGTGTTGGTCTCTCGTCTCTGCCCTTGCATGCGGTGTTCTCGACTGTAAAGACACCAAGAAGTTGAAGATGAAGGGGCTGTGCTGCAAGATGATGCCGCCCTTCCATGCCATCAAGGTGAGAGTTGGTCTCTGCCCTTGCATGCTGTGTTAATGACTGTGAAGACACCAGGAGGAGGAGGGTGAAGGGGTTGTGCTGCACAGCGAAGTGATGCCGCCCTTCCATGGAGCGCTGTTACATGCCATAGCGTGCTGTCAAGGTGATAATTGGTCTCTGCTTGATCGAGCTCTGTCTGCTAGGGCGGTGGTACTTCCAGCACCTGAATTTCACATCCCCCAACCCCAACCCTTCCCCCCGTCGTCCCCTCTTACCTCCCTCACCACAGGCCACGTGGCTCAACGTGGTTTTGGGGAATTCTCAAAAACCTCCCTCACCACAGGCCACGTGGCTCAACGTGGTTTTGGGGAATTCTCAAAAACCTCCCTCACGACAGGCCACGTGGCTCAACGTGGAAAAGGACAAGCTCTTCTGACTCCTGGCCTGGGGGCGATTCTTGAGCCAGCTAGATCTAACGTCCTCCACACTCCCCCTTCCCCTCCTCCTCTCCTGTTTCCAGGGCACGTGGTTCAATGTGGAAAAGGACAAGCTCTTCTGCCTGCTGGGCCCCAACGGAGCGGGCAAGAGCACTACCATCCATTGCCTTACCGGCATTCTGCCCACCACCGCTGGCGATGGTACGTTGCTTGGGGGGTTGTGTGAGGGGAGAGGGGAGGAGCGCGGGAGGAGTGTGTGGGTGAAGGGTGAGGAGTGTGAGCAGTGAGGCAAGAGCACGACCATTCACTGCCTCACAGGCATTCTGCCACCAGCACTGGCGATGGTTTGTTGGTGGGGGGTGGGCGAGTGAGGGATCAGGGCAGTGCGGTGCCTCATCAGCTTGAAATCATTTTCCACTCTGGTTTCTCTCTTGCTCTTCCCCCCCCCCATCCTGGCATTTCCCCCCCCCTGGCATTCCCCCCCCCCACATCCCACCATCTACCCCCCCTCTCCCCCTCTCTTTCTTTCCAGGGCTCATATACGGCCACTCCATCCGCGACCCTGGCAGCATGGCGTCGATTCGAGCCATTATGGGCGTGTGCCCGCAGTTTGACATCCTGTGGCGCTGCCTCACCAGCCAGGAGCACCTCTTCCTCTTCGCCCGGATCAAGGGGCTCCTGCCCTCCCAGATCCCTAAGGTACATGGTGAACAGGTGGCTCCGAGGTGTGTATCAAGGGATTAGCCCAAGGCATGTGCTTCTGTCCCCAGGCAGTTTGACATCCTGTGGCACTTCCTCACCAGCCAGGAGCATCTTCCTCTTTGCTCGAATCAAGGGGCTCTTGCCTTCTCAGATTGCCAAGGGACATGGTGAAAAACAAGCTCAAGTAAAGATTTTCAAACTGGAATTCCAAAGGCAAAATGCTAGACAACACCAGTGGAACCCCATGGGCCTTGGCTGTGTGTCACCCGCGACTCTCTTCTCTCCCCCCCGCTTACTCCTGACCCCCCTATTGCTCCAGGAGTGCGTGAGGAGTCTACTTTTGAGGCGCCTCAAAAACTGACCCCCCTATTGCTCCCTTAGGAGTGCACTATGCTACTGGAAGAAGTGAAGCTCACCAACGTCACCCGGATGAGAATGAGCAGCTACAGCGTCGCCCCTCATTCCCTATCTCCCCCCCCCCCCTTCCCCTTAGGAGTGCGCTATGCTTCTAGAAGAAGTCAAGCTCACCAACGTCACGTGCATGCGCACCAGCGGGTACAGTGGCGGCATGAAGCACCGCCTGTCGGTGGCCATGGCGCTCATCGGGGAACCCAAGATCGTCTTCCTGGACGAGCCGACCCCTGGCGTGGACCCCGTGTCTCAGATTGCCTGTTTCCTTCCCTTCTCTCCTCCCCCTCTTACCTGCTCTCCCTGCCCCCTTCCCTCCTCCGCCCCACGTCTACCCTGCCTCTCCAGGAGTGCGCAATGCTCCTAGAGGAGGTCAAGTTAACCAACGTCACGCGCATGCGCACCAGCGGGTACAGCGGCGGCATGAAGCGGCGCCTGTCAGTGGCCATCGCGCTCATTGGGGACCCCAAGATTGTCTTCCTGGACGAGCCCACGACCGGCATGGACCCCGTGTCGCGGCGCCACGTGTGGGACATCATCGAGCGTGCCAAGCGCGGCCGCGCCATCGTGCTCACAACGCACTCCATGGAGGAGGCTGACATTCTGGGGGACAGGATCGCCATCATGGCCAAGGGCCGGATGCGGTGCATCGGGACGTCGATTCACCTCAAGAACCGGTTCGGCGCCGGATTCGTGGTGACGGTGGGCGTGCGCCGTCCGGCGAGAGTGACCAATGCTGGTGCTCCTGCTGATTCGGCGGCTGAGACCTCGAGCGGGTCGTCGCCGCTGTCGTCCTCTGTTGTTTCACCTGAAGGGACACCTGGGGAGAACGTGGAGGCAGTGAAGGCGTTTTTCTATGACCGCCTGGGCGTGCAGCCAGTGGACGAGTCCCAAGGCTATGTGACCTTCCTGGTGCCCCGCAGCAAGGAAACCATGCTCACGGTAAGACTCTTCCTCCTACCTTCCTCCTAGCTTCGTCCTGCCTACCCATGCCCTGCGCCCTCTTCTATGACCGCCTGGGCATTGGAGGAGTCGCAGGGCTATGTGACGTTCTTGGTGCCCCGCACTGCAGCAAGGGGACCATGCTCACGGTACGATACATGATTCCCATAGGTCCTCTGTAAGTTTCATGCATATTTCCCACCTGTCTCTGTCGATCCTAGAGGAGGTGTTTCTCACCATTGCACGGCTTCCTTCCCTCCCCTCCACTTTCCCCCCCACGCTCCTCAATTTCCCCCTTCGGCAGACGTTTTTCCGAGAGCTCAAGGAGATCAAGAGAACACTAGGAGTCGTGGGCACGCACCTGTCGCTGTCGACCCTAGAGGAACATCGCACCACTTCCTTCCCTCACCCCCACCTTATCCCCCCCTCAGACGTTCTTCCGGGAGCTCAAGGAGAAGAAGAGAGCACTGGGAGTCGTGGACACCCACCTGTCGCTGTCGACCCTGGAGGAGGTGTTTCTCAACATCGCGAAGAAGGCAGAGCTGGAGACGGCTCAGGTGGAGGAGCGATTTGAGGCCATCACCCTGCCAGATGGCCGCATTGTTCAGGTGTGTGGATGGGGGATGGGCATCGCATTGAGGCATATGAGGTTTGAGACGTCTCATAATTGGAAACTGCTCAGGCGGAGGAGCGGTTTGAGGCCATAACCCTGCCAGATGGCCGCACCGTTCAGGTGTGTGGATGGGCATTGTGGCATTGCTGTGAAATAGCTCCCTTTGGGCTCGCTTCTCATTATCCTGCCTTCCCGTTGTCTTCCTTTGCCCCCAACTACTACTAGTACTGACGAATCCTTTCTGTTCCGCTGTTTAACCCAACTGTACACATGGCAGGTTCCGATTGGTGCAGAGTGTGTAGCCATCCCTTCAGCAGCTGCCTCTAATGAGGGGGTTGAGGACATTGACGGGGAAGCAGCACCCATGGTGGTGGATATCACGTGGCATCAGGACGATCTAGGCTGTCTGCGCATCACTACTTACTCCGACCCTAGACCGGCAGAATCAGGGGAGCTGAATGTGGCCAAGGGCTTCTGATTGCCTGTCACAGTTAATTATCTATACCATGAATGAGGGGGGGGTGTGAGGACATGGATGCGGGAGCAGCACCCATGGTGGTGGATATCACATGGCATCAAGACGGCCTGGGGTGCCTGGGTGGGAGGAGCGACAGCATGGGGTGTGGAAAAACAGCATCCATTTTGGTGCAAGTCAGATGGCTCCAGGTAATCTTTAAGATCGACCTTGGATTCTTGCCTGCACATTGCCTCTTACTCTGACCCTAAACAGGCTGAGTCTGGGGGGTTGATTGAGCACATTTATGCAGGGGAGGAACAGAACCCCTGTGGTACGTAGTGTAGATGCTTCTAACTTGTGTAATTAGTCTGGTATGGACATCACTGTACACATCATGGAAGAGTTTTTTCAGTGAAAGGAAGCAAGCACATAGAATCTTCCCCCATCTATGCATTGAATTCCCCTGTGTATGGGTATGGGGTCGCCCTGTGACCTGTGCTCTGCTGTGGCTTGTGACCTGGCGAATTTCACAAGAACACCCAGCAAAATCCGTTAATTGCACTACGTTGTTTCCAGCATGACAGGACTAGACAGCAGTAGTTGCATCTGACAAACCTACCGGTTTGATCAACCCATTGCATGGGTGCGGTTGAGGTGGCTAGTTTTAAGGCGCCTCAAAGGGGACCGGACCGGACTGAACAGCAGAAGTGGCATTTGATGTACATCTGACAACCTATATTGGTGTGATCAACTCATTGCATGGGTATGATAGGTGTGATCGAGGTGGCTAGTTTTGTGGCGCCTCAAAACTTGACACGACTGAACAGCACTAGTGGCATCTGAAGTACATCTGACTACCTACTAGTGTCATCAACTCATTGCATGGGTGTGATAGGAGCGGTCGTGGTGCTGTCATGTCACATGGCAAATGTCCTTGGGTCCCTGGTGATGATTACACAAGGGGCAGATGGAGAGATATAGAGAGGTGTAGAGAGATATGGAATACTTAGTCACAGGAAAGGTGCACGGCACAGGCCTCACATTCAGATCAAAGCGGAAGGGTCACCCGCAAGAAAGGAAGGCAGGAGGAATCAGACAGGGATGCGGAGATGGAAGCAGCTTGGGAGTTGAATGGGCGTGTGGGTCGCCACGAACGCAATGCCCCCCGTCGCCCTGTGCTCCTCAACCATGGCCTCCAGCAGCGCCAACCCCACCACGCCCAGCCCCACCAAGAGAAGACCCAGGTAGGACTACCGACCGGATGGGAGTGGGGGAAAACCTATGGCTGGTCCTCGAGAGGGATGCCAGCTAGGGGGCATACCTGACGGGAAATCGCAGGTGGAAGCAGGAGGAGAGTTGGATGGGCGTGTGGGTCGCCACAAACGCAATGCCCCCCGCCGCCCTGTGCTCCTCCACCATGCCCTCCAGCAGCGCCACCCCCTCCAAGTCCAGCCCAACGGACGGTTCGTCCAGCAGCCACAGCGAACGAGGGATGGCCAGCAGACGAGCAAGCTGCAGGCGCTTGCGCTGTTTTGGGGGGGGGAGAGATGGGGGGAAGGAAGAGATTGTGGGAGGGGGGAGAGGGAGTGGGGAGGGAGGGGGGAGGGCCGAGACAGAGTGTGAGGAAACGGGGGAAGGGGGGAGTAAGGGCGGATGAGCGTAAGGGCTGCCAGCAGTGCCACGCCCGGCAAGTCCAACCCAACGGACGGTTCGTCCAGCAGCCAGAGGGAGCGAGGGATGGCCAGCAGTCGCGCCAGCTGCAGGCGCTTGCGCCGAATAGAAGGGGGGGGGATAGTGAGAGTGATGGGTGTATGTGAGAAGTGATGGGTGGGAAGTGATGGGCGAGTAAGGGTGGCGGATAGGCGGGCTGCCAGCAGCCCCACCACCTGCCAAGTCCAAACCTACGGACGGTTCGTCCAGCAGCCAGGGGGGGCGCGGAATGGCCAGCAGACGCGCCAGCTGCAGGCGCTTGCGCTGATGGGGATGGGGTGCGGGGAGGGAGGGACGAAAACGACGGATGGCACCTTCCTCAGATGGCACCTGACACCAATTCCGCCCCTCGCCCACAGGACATCCCTCGTCACAAAGGCGATGCCCCCCGCCGCCCTGTGTTCCTCAACCATGCCTTCCAGCAGGTGTGTTTTGAGTCGACTCAAAACATGCCCCCCGCCACCCTGTGCTCCTCCACTATGGCTTCCAGCAGCGCCACCCCCTCCAAGTCCAGCCCAACGGACGGTTCGTCCAGCAGCCAGAGGGAGTGCGGGATGGCCAACTGGCGCCAGCTGCAGGCGCCCCATGCCCATTTCAGCAGCCATGCACAAAGCAACCCCCCCGAGATAGTAACACGACACATTCCTCAAATGGCACCTGCCCCAAGTGATACCTGCCCCATGCTGAGAACGCTGGCTGGCACTCGAGAGAGGTGCTTCGGAGTCAGACCCACTGCCCCGAGCGCCCACCCTGTGTGACATGCTACACACCCCTCACTACCATGCCAAGTCCCTTAATCCGAATAGCGCCCGCCCCAGGTAATACCTGCCCCATGCTGAGAATGCTGGCTGGCTCCCTTGAGAGGTGCTTCAGCCCCACTGCCTCTAGAGCCCATGCCACCCTGTCCTCCGTGCCCTCTAGTACGGCCCACGTGCGCTGCCCGAGTGGGTTGCGGGTTTCGGGTTTAGGATGGGAGGGATAGAGAGGGGAGAAGGGGAAAGGGGAGGAGGGAAGGTGGGGAGAGAATGAAAGTGGGGAGAGAGAGAAAGTGGGGAGAGAATGAGGGGGGGATGGGGTTTGGAGGGATAAGGGGAAAGGGGAGTCTGAAGTCTGGGGTCTGAAGTCTGGAGTCTGAAGTGTGTGAATTCTGGGGTCTGGCAGCCACGAGCGCCACGGATGCCGTGCCAACAAGCCATGCCGTAAGTGAGATCCAGGTCCTTGGTCCTTGAACCAGCAGCACTGACCACGTTATCGTCAACGGTGAACTTAGCACGTAAGTGAGATCCAGGTCCTTGGTCCTTGAACCAGCAGCACTCACCACGTTATCGTCGACAGTAAACGAGTTCTTGATGGCGTCCTTCGCCCCCATGAGGTGCACGTTCACCCGGTACACTGCCAACCACGGTTGAGCCATGCCATGCCATGCCATGCCATGTCAGGTGAGACGTCAGGTAAGACGTCAGGTGAGACGTCAGGTGAGACGTCAGGTGAGACGTCAGGTGAGACGTCAGGTGAATTGCCAGGTGAGAAGAAATGCAGGGTAAGACATCAGGTGGGGTCCTCAGGTGGGATGCCAGGTAGCACGAGGAGAATCAGCAAGAGGCGTGAGCATGAATCAATCTTCCTCACAGTCACACTCCCCTGAATGCCCTCCTTAACCCCCCTTACTGTCACACACATCTGCATTCATGAGGCTGTGCCCCTGCCACATCAGATGAGGACAAGGCTGGGCTGGGTGATATACATCTACAGACGCACACTCCAGGCTATACGCACTCCTTACACTGTCACACCCCTTACTGTCATATACATCTGGGTTCATGAGGCTGTGCCCCTGCCACATCAAATACCCCGCAGTCGGCTTGATAAAGCCCGCCAGCTGGAACGAGGCAGGGAAGGAAGGAGCCAGCAGGGAACGAATAGAAGAATGTGGGGGGGAGATTTCTTTAGATTTTTTTTTTTTTAATTTCTCAAAAATCACCGACAACAGGGAAAGAATAAAAAACGTGGAGGGGGGAGAAGAGCAGAAGAGGCAAGGGGATGCATCTGGGTTCACAAGGCTGTGCCCCTGCCGCATCAGATGCCGCAGGGTGGTTTTGAGAATTCTCAAAAACACCCTGCGCATCAGATGCCCCGCAGTGGGCTTTATGAAACCTGGCAAGGGGGGGGAGTGGGGAGGGGAGAAGGGGGGAGGGTGGGGTTGAGGAGGAAAGGGATTCTAGCAAGAACGGCGCAAGGACACGACAATGGTAAATCGAGGATTGTCGGCAAGACAAGGGGGGGCATGGGGAGCGGGGTCGTGGGGGAAGGAGGGGAGGCGAGGGGGTGGGGTGGGGAGGGGGTGGGGTGGGGTGGGGTGGGGTGGGGTGGGAAGGGGTGTGGAAGGCACAGACCATAAGTCGCTAGCGCGTCTCACCAATCTTAAGAATGTGCTCTTGCCGCTGCCGTTGGGCCCCGTTAGGAGCACACCGTCGCCTTCGTACACGCTCATGTTCATATCGCGTAACACCACCTCGCCGCTGCGCATGCACGCCACGCGGCTCGCGACTAACCTAGGCAGCTCTCCCGGCTGTATTGTCGGCGCGATCGGCGCTTCGGCGAGGTTTCTAGACGTCTCTAAACGCGACTCGGGATCTGACCAGTAGGACGGCTTGGGTGGCGGGATTTCTGGACCGGGGTTGACACGTGGAGGCGGAAAGAAGTAGTTGAAAAAGGAGCGACTTGGCGATGCATTCGGGCTGGACGGAGTTAGTCGAGAGATTGATGGATCGGCAGCAGCGAGAGGAGAGACTATGGAGTTAGCGAGGCGCACGGGATTTCGGGGAGCAAGCTTGGGTAAGCGTGCCATTGTGATGGTTATCAGGTGGTTCCTGCCTGGCTGCTACCCTGTGGTCCTCCTCGTGATAGTGGCCTGACGGCCCTACTAGCTCTTAGTACCAATTAAATCAGTGTATTCGTTAGTGCAGACTCTTTAGCGGTTAGTTCAGGCTTCACCATTTACGGATAGGAAATATGTCAAATATATCAGTGTATCCTTACTTCTTGTAACCAGATGCGAAATGTCGGTTCGCGACGACAGCTGGTTTCGCCAACTCGGTGATTGCGTAGTTCAGCCCGCGAAAAGTTTCGCGCCCCCCGTCCCTGTCGCCTTTTGTCAGTCAACCAGTAGCGAGCAGTCATGCCCTGAAACTGTCGGACGGCCAATCAAACCGTCAAAGCATCAGCGAAAGGGGACGACCACTTCACGACGGCTGACGATGTCGTTACCTCTCCAACACAGCCTTGAACATCTCAGTTCGTTTCGTCAAAGAGGCTCACAGCAGCTCGACGAAATCTGCGACTGTCGTTGAGAAACTGCATCAGTCGTCAAGAAGTCATGTACAAGCAGTCCGCCAGCTGTCGGCAATCTCAAGGTCTCAGATCGCGTGACTCACCACTTATGCGTTTTGTGGAGCAGTTTTGAAGCGAGGACAAAGAAGATTCAGCCAGAACTGACATGGAGTGAAGGGATTCAGACTTCATACACCTCCAAATATATCACTAGCTAGCATACCTCTGAAGCTGCGATTATGGCCGACATACCTCTCCAGCTGCTATTATGGTGATTTCACTTGTGGATTGCATGTCACAGCAGCAGCATGGCCTGGTTATTTGCTGAAAGGCTCCTACTTTGCCTGTGATCGCTAGGAAGGTAGACAGAAATTAATGCTAATGATCGTCGTCAGGTCTTTGAACACAGTTAGCTCGCTGCGGGCTTGTCAAGAGAGACGTAGCCACACGGCAGAAGCCCGGTTATCTCATTCAGCTAATATTTTTTTCCGCATCATTTCCTTGCCGGCACGAGATGGACGGTAGACGAGCGAGACGTCCTAATTCGCCGGTCACATCCAACCATCAGGAATACGCGTCGAACATGGCTAGAGTTGACTCCTCGCCTCGGCCACTCTTCAGTCCTAAGTTCCTCCCGCTTCTTCCTATCCCGGCTCGAAGTCCAAGTCCTAGTCGACTCCCTCAGTACCGAGTATCAGCGAACGCAGCAGGAAGCATCAAGCCTCTTAGCTTAGTACCTGAACAACTAGACGAAGCAGACTCACCAGCAACTCCAACACCGCAGCCTGTTCTGAACGATGACCATTCCATGGCTACTTGGGGTCTGCAGATCGCCGGACGTCTCCGGCAGCTTCGGAATGTGGCTCGGGGACTGATGCCGAAGCTGTACAGGCTGTCGAGGCTCGTTGACTTGGGTCCTCAGGACTCTCCCAAACCGCAGGATCAGGTTTGGAAATCGGGGATCGTGCCTGATTTCCCGAAGCTGTGCACGCACCTGTGGAAGAAGTTTCCGGAACACCCACGGAACCTTCAGCTTGACAAGGTGTGAAGCCTGCTTGATAGGGTGTGCGAACCATGGTCATGATGTAAGCGTGTGAAGCCTTCGGATTTCCCGAAGGTGTGCAAGCAGCTGTGTAAAGTTGCCAGAACACCCACGGAACCTGCAGCTTGACAAGGTGTGACGTGACGACTGCTTGATAGGGTGTGTGAAATCCATAGCCAGATAAAGTGTGTGAAAGTTTCAGGCATGCACCAGCCTGAGCCTGCACCAGCCTGCACCAGCTTGCATCAGTCTGCACCAGCCAGTCATTTTGCTCCTCGCCTCGCCTATCTTCAACCCCCACGCTCTCTTCAACCCCCACGCCTATGTTCAACCCCCACACCCATGTTCAACCCCCACGCCTGACAACCCACCAGGTGGATCGAACTGCTCTCGAGGTGTTTGCCAGCTTCGGCTCTCATTTCCAAGCCTCCCTGCAGCCCTGGTATGAGGTACGGACCGAACCAGGCAGAGAAATAGGTGACCAGGAGTTCTGATGCTGGTCGACATAGCTGATTATGCAATAAGTATCTCAACTTAGCATCTGATTGTTCTAGGCACGTGGGTGTTCTCACACGTCTAGAATGCGCCAGCTATTTCCACCCTTGGCAATGCCTGGCAGGTGCTGGTGGACCTGGCTCTCTTCCGAGAGCACGCCCTTGTTCTGCTGAACGACCTTGTTTGTAAAGCCTCGACTTCGCCCCAGAAGAACCCTCTTTCTCCCCCAACCCATTTCCTGTCCTCTGGGAATGACTGCATTGCCTGGCAGGTGCTGGTCGACCTGGCTCTCTTCCGAGAGCACGCCCTTGTTCTGCTGAATGATCTCGCCACCAGCATTGTCACACTCTCTGTAAGAACGTCACCCTTCCCAGATTCCCGTGCCCCTCCCCTGGACTTTCTCTTTCGTCCCCCAATTCTCACCCTTTTTTCGGAAGCAGCATTTTTCCTGCCTCCAGATTTGGATTTCCCTCTGCTTTTATTCATGCGTGCTTTTGTGTGCTTCTGAGTGCCTTTGTGTGCTTTGTTCGGTCAACTCATTTGTAACTCTCCTGCATTCTCCTTTCCCCTATCTTGCCTTTCCCACTAACCATTTCAGCCTGGAGTGAGTCCTCTTGTGCGTCGCTCCATCATGGGTCTCCTTTTGAGTCGACTCAAAAGCTCTCCTGCGTTCCCCTCTCCCCTGTCTTGCCTTTCCCACTTATCACTTCAGCCTGGAGTGAACCCTCTTGTGCTTCACTCCTTCATGCGCCTCTTTTCCGATTTTGTGCGAGTTAACCTCCTCTCTTTAAGGGTGAGTTAACCTCCTCTCTTTAAGGGTGAGTTAACCTCCTCTCTTTAAGGGTGAGTTAACCTCCTCTCTTTAAGGGTGAGTTAACCTCCTCTCTTTAAGGGTGAGTTAACCTCCTCTCTTTAAGGGTGAGTTAACCTCCTCTCTTTAAGGGTGAGTTAACCTCCTCTCTTTAAGGGTGAGTTAACCTCCTCTCTTTAAGGGTGAGTTAACCTCCTCTCTTTAAGGGTGAGTTAACCTCCTCTCTTTAAGGGTGAGTTAACCTCCTCTCTTTAAGGGTGAGTTAACCTCCTCTCTTTAAGGGTGAGTTAACCTCCTCTCTTTAAGGGTGAGTTAACCTCCTCTCTTCAAGGGCAAGGGTATAGTGGTGGTTAATTTCCTGGGACTAGTAGAAATCTAATACGAGTTAATCTCTTCGTGTAAAGACAAAATCTTACTGAGAGTTCTTGTATTCTCTTCCCTTCTCTTCTGAGCACGCGCGCGCGCGTGTGTGTGTGTGAGTGTGTGTGGGAGGGTGTGCGTGTGGGGGGGGGGGGGGGATGGTTGTGTGTGTGTGTATGCGATGACCAGGCGGGGAAGAGAATGATCGTGCAGGTGCATGCACTGATAGTGTACTACACCAACAACGGCCAAGTGCCAGAGATTTACGACAGGTACGACATCTTCAAGGTACGGCAACCCCAAGGTACGGCAACCCCAAGGTATGGCAACCCCAAGGTACGGCTATCCCAATGTATGGCTATCCCAAGGTATGGCAATCTCAAGGTACGGCGATCCCAATGTGCGGTGATCCCAACGTAGGGTGATCCCAAGGTACGGTGATCCCAAGGTATGGGAACGCCAAGGTACGGTGATCCCAAGGTATGGGAACGCCAAGGTACGGTGATCCCAAGGTATGGGAACGCCAAGGTACAGCGATCCAGTCATTTTTCCTCCAAGAATTGTATCAGGTGTAAGTTTGGGCCCCTCTCCTTCCCCACTTCCCTTCCAGAGTGCAGCGGTAAGTGTAGGCATACGACACCCCCATGCTCGGACTACAAGAGGACCTCAAGACCATTGCTCCCCAGATCGCCAAGCTCATACATTCCTCTCCCTCCCCCCCCCCCCACCCACGTAACCCCACTTCTCCCCCTTCCAGAGTGCAGCGGTATGTAGAGGCGTACGACACCCCCATGCTTGGACTGCAGGCAGGAGGACCATGTTGCGTGTATGCAACCCCAAAACCCACCCCACTCCCCCCAACCCCCCCTCTCCCGTACCCCCCACTTCTCCCCCTCCCAGAGTGCAGCGTTACGTAGAGGTGTACGACACCCCCATGTTCGGACTGCAGGAGGACCTCAAGACCATTGCTCCCCAGATGGCCAAGCTCATACATTCCTCTCCCCCCCCCCCCCAACCCCCCTTGGCGTGCCTCCACTACTTCCTCCCCAGGGTGCTGCGGTACGTAGAGGCGTACGACACCCCCATGCTCGGACTGCAGGAGGACCTCAAGACCGTTGCTACCCGGATCGCCAAGGTCAGAGTAGCCCATCCCGAGGCAGTGGAGGCTGCACGTGCAGTCGTGTTGGGAAGGATACACACCCTAAAATCTGGATGACTTTTGAGTCAACTCAAAAGTCACCTTGCTCCTGGGATCGCCAAGGTCAGACTAGCCCATTCGCGGGCAGTGGAGGCAGTGCTTGCAGTCGTGTTGGGAAGGCTACATACCCGAAAATCTTTGAGTCGGCTTTTGAGTCGGTGATTTTTTAGTTGACTCCTGAGTCGGTGATTTTTTAGTTGACTCCTGAGTCGGTGATTTTTTAGTCGACTAAAAAGTCGCCCATCCTGAGGCAATGGAGGCTGTGCGTGCAGTCGTGTTGGCAAGGATACAGGCCCAGAAATATGGAGATCCTTGCTTGCCTTCCTTGTGACTGCTGCTCACCACTGTCCCTGTGCTCTCCATCTAGTTTTGAGGCGCCTGTGCTCAAAACTAGACTCACCACTGTCCCTGTGCTCTCCATCTCCCTGCGCCCTCCCCTCTTCAGGCTGTGAATGCCATTTCTCCGGTGATCCTCTCATGGGAAAACACCCAGAAGCTTCGTACTGACGTGTTTGTGAAGCCCTTGGCATCGTGGCCTGATGTGGCATCCGCCCCTCCCCCCTGGGACCTCATGGTACGCCCCAATTCTGCCCCGCCCCCCTGGAACAACATGGTTGGTTTCCTGTTGTTAGGGTCTCCTCACCGTGCTCTGACGTTTTTGTGAAGCCCTTGGCATCGTGGCCTGATGTGGCATCCGCCCCTCCCCCCCTGGGGCCCCATGGTAGGCTCCCTTTCTGCCATTTGAATTCCCCCCCTGGGACCCTGTGGTAGGCCCCCATTCTACCCGTTGAAATTTCCCCCCTGGCCATGGTAGTCTCTGCCCAGTGCGTGACAATGAGATGTCCCATAAAGCGTTAAGATTCCATTTCTGCCTCTGCGGCCCCTCCCTCACAGCGAGGAGCTGGTGGGTATGGAGGCATACACCGAGTGGCCAATCTTTGCCCTCCTCACATGTGCGATCTGCCCCTCACATGACACCCCTGCACCCTCAACCACCCCCCTGTCTCCCCCCCCCCCACACACCAGTGTGAGAAGCTGGTGGATATGATTTTTGAGTCAACTCAACATTTTTTAGTCGACTCAAAAATCGACTCAACCACCCCCCTGTCTCCCCCCCCGCACACACCAGTGTGAGAAGCTGGTGGAGATGGAGGCGTACACAGAATGGGCGCTCTTTGCCGTCCTCACATGCCTCACATGCCCTGTGGTGAAAGGCTTCGTACATTTCACTGCTCCTCCAACCCTCCCCCAACCCTCCCCAACTACCCCCCACCCAACCTTTCAGAGCGAGGAGCTGGTGGAGATGGAGGCGTACACAGAGTGGGCGCTCTTTGCCCTCCTCACATGCCCTGTTGAGGTGGTGCGAGGCACCACTGCTGCTGCTGCGCTGATCAAGGTGAGAGCTGTGGGTATGTAGGTGCGAGGCACTTCTGCAGTTGCACGGGCCATAGTGCCCGTTGCCATAGTGCCCCTGTGCCCACCTCCCCTTCTATTCATGCGTGCATGTTGAGGTGCAGCACACCTCACCTCCGTCTTCCCCCCTTCTCCTGTTGCTCTCCTTCCAGACCCTCCTCCTCACGCGGGCCATAGTGCCCCTATTCAGGGACGACGTGCTGTGCGTGCATGTGGAGGTGCAGCAGTGGGTGGCGGGGCGGAAGAAGGCAGCCAAGGCAGCACATTCACCTTCCGAGCCTCCCCTCATTATTCCACAAACTGCCCTGCTTCCTTGCAAACGCTTGTCTACTCACGCGCAATACTCCCTCTATTCAGAGACGAAGTCCTATGTGTGCACGTGGAGGTGTAGCAGTGGGCGGGAAGCCAGAAAAGAAAACGGCTTGTTTTTCATCCTTCTGTTCCCGATTCCTTACAGACTCTCCTTCACTCGCGCGCAATACTCCCTCTATTCAGAGACGAAGTCCTATGTGTGCACGTGGAGGTGCAGCAGTGGGTGGCGGGGAAGTTGGGGGAGGGGAAGAAGGCAGCCAAGGCGGCGAGACACCACCACAGGCAGCAGGGAGCAGAGGAGGAGTATCAGCGGCTCAGGGAGTGCTTCCGACTGGTGGGGTGAGTGTTGGGGGGCTGCTTTTCTTGTGCCTCTCAGTGACGGGGTAGGGCACAGAGAGAACGCGGCCAAGGTAGCGGCGGCAAGACACCACAGGCAGCAGGGCGTAGCGGAGGAGTATCAGTCTATCACTAGCTCAGGGAGTGCTGCCGAGTGATAGGGTGAGTCTGTGTGTGTGGAAGGGGAGGAAGGGCGGGGAAATTTCGGTATTTTTGTCTCTGGTATTCTATGGGGCATGCATGCCTGTGGCGCATGGCCGATTCCCACAGGACGAGACGGTTTGTCCTGGGCCACGAGGGCAGGCGACTGCTGCTTAGAGTGTGTTTGTGCACACCCCCACTCCCCCCCACTCCCCTACGACCAGGGACCTAGTGGATACCAGTGGCATGCATGCATGCCTGCAGCACATGGCTGATTCCCACAGAAGAGGGCGTTTCATTCTGGGCCACGAGGGCAGGCGACTGCTGCGAAGAGTGTGTTTGTGAACATTCCCTCACTCCCCCCCACTCCCCAATGACCAGGGACCTAGTGGAAACTAGCGGCATGCACGCATGCCTGCAGCGCATGGCGGACTCCCACAGGAGGAGGCGATTCATTCTGGGCCACGAGGGCAGGCGACTGCTGCTCAGGCTGGGCGTTGACCCCGCCTTATGTTTCCTCTCTTTTCCCCCTTACCCACAGAGACCTAGTAGACACGAGCGGCATGCACGCATGCCTGCAGCGCATGGCTGACTCCCACAGGAGGAGGCGATTCATTCTGGGCCACGAGGGCCGGCGACTGCTGCTCAGGCTGGGCGTTGACCCCGCCTTATGTTTCCTCTCTTTTCCCCCTTACCCACAGAGACCTAGTAGACACGAGCGGCATGCACGCATGCCTGCAGCGCATGGCGGACTCCCACAGAAGAAGGCGGTTCATTCTGGGCCACGAGGGCCGGCGACTGCTGCTCAGGCTGGGCGATCAGCCCACGCTCCTGCCGCCCATGCTGCAGCTGGTGCGGGCCGTGCTGGCTCTGCTGCGTGCCGAGGTGCACTGGGCCATCCTGCACACCTCCTGCCTCGCCCAATCCGCTCCTGTCACGGTGCGTTTCTTGCTCACTCTCTGCTGCTGAGGCTGGGTAATTACCCCGTGATGCTCCTACCGCCCGTGCTGCAGCTGGTGCGCCCCGTGCTGGCTCTGCTGCGAGCTGAGGTGCACTGGGCGATCCTGCACACCTCCTGTCTCGCCCAGTCTGCCCCCGTCGCGGTAATGGCCGTCTCCCTCCCTTCCTCCCCTCCCCCCTCCTTGCTATCTCTCTCTTTTGCTCTCTCGCTCTGCTGCGCGCCGAGGTGCACTGGGCTATCGTGCGCACCTCCTGCCTCTTCCAGTCTACCCCCATCACGGTGAATGCCCTCACAAGCTTCTAATTCCTCTTAATTGTCCTCGCCTCCTTTTCCTTACCTCTGTAAAGTCTACTTTTACTTTGTTTTCCACGACACCATTCCCCACCTCCTTTCAGGGTGCAGAGACTGACTTGGGGGCAGTGCTGATCAGCACTGTCATCCAGACTCGGCTTTCACCTCCTGCCTGCCCTCTCGTCCGCACTTGTCCTCCCCTCCTCACCATCCCTCCCTGCAGGGCCCGGAAGCTGACTCAGTGGCATTGCTGATCGAAAATGTCATCCAGTCTCCGCTCATTTCAAGCCTTGCTTGCCCTCTCGTCCGCTCTTGTCCTCCCCTCCTCTCCATCCCTCCCTGCAGGGCCCGGAAGCTGACTCGGTAGCAGTGTTGATTGACACCATGTTCCGCCTCGTGTCGCTCATTCAGACGCACATGCTGGGTAGGTGATGCTGGGAGGGTGATGTGTGGGTTATGAGCGGGATAGGCAGCAGGTTAGTGTGGGGTGTGGGCTGATCGACATCATGTTCCGCCTCATAACGCTCATCCAAACTCACATGCTTGGTAGGTGATGCTGGGAGGGTGATGCTGGGAGGATGATAGTGCGAGGTGTGGGCTGATCGACGTCATGTTCCGCCTCATAACGCTCATCCAGATACACATGCTCGGTTGGTCGTGCTGGGCGGGTGATGCTCGGTAGGTCGTGCTGGGTGGGTGATGCTCGGTAGGTCGTAATGGGAGGGTGATGCTCGGTAGGTCGTAATGGGAGGGTGATGCTCGGTAGGTCGTGCTGGGAGGGTGATGCTCGGTAGGTCGTGCTGGGAGGGTTATGCTCGGTAGGTCGTGCTGGGAGAGTGATGCTCGGTAGGTCGTGCTGGGAGGGTAATGCTCGGTAGGTCGTGCTGGGCGGGTGATGCTCGGTAGGTCGTGCTGGGCGGGTGATGCTCGGTAGGTCGTGCTGGGAGGGTGATGCTAGGTAGGTACATGTTCCGCCTTGTGTCACCCATCCAGATACACCTGCTCGGTAGGTACATGTTTCGCCTTGTGTCACCCATCCAGATACACCTGCTCGGTAGGTGGTGCTTGTGTGAGATGGAGTGATGCACGCTTGTCGTGTGGCAATGATTGGCACATCATAGGTCATGTCACGAGCCAACACAGCCCCTGCTCCAGCCGAATCTCCCCTTGACTCCTCCCCTTCACATCATAGGTCATGCCATTTTGGACACGGATACTGCACCCGGCACAGCACCTTGACTCCCCCCGCTCCAGCCACTTCTCCCCCCCACTCCAACCCCACCCCTCCTGGCGTGAGAAGTCTGATTTTGAGGCGTCTCACAATTAGACTCCCCTTGACTCCCCCCCGCTGCATCTCCCCCCCACTCCAACCCCAACCCCCTTATCCTCAGCCATGCTTGGCATGCTTGGCATGCGTGGCGTGCTTGGTATGCTTGGTATGCTTCATATGCTCGGTATGCTTGGTATGCTTGGTATGCTAGGTATGCTTGGTATGCTTCACATGCTTGGTATGCTTGGTTGTGCTCGGTGTGCTTCTTATGCTGGGTATACTGGGTATGGTATGATTGGTATGATTGGTATGCTCCATACCACCATACCACCATACCTCCATACCTCCATACTAACATACCTCCATATCTCCATACCACCATAGCTCCATGTACGTCCATACCATCATACCTGCATGCCACGGTACCACCATACCAACGTACCTCCATACCATTATACCCCCATACCCCCATACCCCCATACCACCATACGTCCATACCACCATACCACCATACGTCCATAACACCATACCACCATACCACCATACCACCATACCACCATACCACCATACCACCATACCACCATACCACCATACCACCATACCACCATACCACCATACCACCATACCACCATACGTCCCATACCACCATACCTCCATACCACCATACCACCATACCACCATACGTCCATACCACCATACCACCATACGTCCATACCTCCATACCACCATACCACCATACCTCCATACCTCCATACCTCAATATCTGTATATCCATCCATACCATCATACCTGCATGCCACTGTACCACCATACCAACGTACCTCCATACTACTATAAACCCCATGCCACCATACCACCATACCACCATACCACCATACCACCATACCACCATACCACCATACCACCATACCACCATACCACCATACCACCATACCTCCATACCACCATACGTCCATACCACCATACCACCATACGTCCATACCACCATACCACCATACCACCATACCACCATACCTCCATACCACCATACCACCATACCTCCATACCACCATACCACCATACCACCATACGTCCATACCACCATACCACCATACCACCATACGTCCATACGTCCATACCTCCATACCACCATACCACCATACGTCCATACCTCCATACCTCCATACCACCATACCGCCATACGTCCATACCTCCATACCACCATACCACCATACCTCCATACCTCCATACCTCCATACCTCAATATCTGTATATCCGTCCATACCACCATACTTCCATACCACCATACGTCCATACCACCATACCACCATACCACCATACGTCCATACCACCATACCACCATACCACCATACCACCATACCACCATACCACCATACGTCCATACCTCCATACCTCCATACCACCATACCACCATACCTCCATACCTCCATACCTCAATATCTGTATATCCGTCCATACCATCATACCTGCATGCCACTGTACCACCATACCAACGTACCTCCATACTACTATAAACCCCATGCCACCATACGTTCATACCACCATACCACCATACCTCCATACCTCCATACCTCCATACCTCCATACCACCATACCTCCATACCTCCATACCACCATTTCTCCAAACCTCCATGCTCGGTATGCTTGGGAGGCTCGGTATGCTTTTCGACGTAACAGCCACCTCCCCCTCCCCCACCTCAACCCCAACCCCCACAATATTCAGCCACCCAGGCACATGCGTGCTGGCAGGTGGAGTGGGTTGCGCAGTGGTTGAGGTGATTCCTGAGTTGACAGCCATCCAGGCGCATCCGCCCTGGCCAGTGCAGTGGGGTGCGAGGGGGGTGGGAGACCACAACACCCGACTCCCGTGTCGACTCAATACCCCCACTCCCCCACCCCACACTCCCCCACCCCGCACTCCCCCACCCCGCACTCCCCCACCCCGCACTCCCCCACCCCACACTCCCCCACCCCGCACTCCCCCACCCCACCACCACCCCCATCCCCACCGCCCCTTTTTCTTTCCTTTCTCCAGCCATCCAGGCACATGCGTCCTGGCAGGTGCAGTGGGGTGCGAGGCAGGTGAGAGACCTGATTGCGCTGCCAGCTGTGCGCCAGCTGGCGATGAGCGCCCAGCTGGAGGCCTTCTTCCGCGACACGTCAGCGTCCATGCTGGTGGCCGCCCGGTTCCTCTGCGATGCTGACGTTGCGTCTGGTGGCGGTGGCAGTGGTGGTGGTGGGAGCAGCATGGAGTATGAGGAACGCCTGCAAATGGTATGTAGAAGTCATGTGTGTTGGGGGGGGATGGGGGGGAGTGGTGGGTGGGAGCAGTAGCATGGAGTATGAAGATCGCTTGCAAATGCTATGTTGTATTTACCTCATGGCTCTCTCTTTTCTTGGCTCTCTTTCTTTGCGACTTGTCTTGATAGTGCCTATTGCCCTTCCCCTTCCTTGTCTAACCTGCATGTCCCTCCCCTCCTTATCCCCCAGCACGCTCTGGCATCGAACCAGCTGGCATGCCACAGCATGAGGGTGGGGTGGCAGAATCTGCTTGTAGCACTCCCCCATTGCCCCATTGCCCCATGCCCCCCTTCTCAATCGGTTCTCTGCTCTCCATATCTCCTCCCTCTCACAGCACGCCCTGGCATCGAACCAGCTGGCATGCCACAACATGAGGGTGGAGGGGCTGCAGCTGCAGTTGCAAGCACCACTCCCCCGGACCGTATTCTCATTGCCCCATGCCCCGTTTTTCTGCTCTCCATATCTCTTCCCACCCCCCAGCACGCCCTGGCATCGGACCAACTAGCTTGGCACAACATGAGGGTGGAGTGGCAGCAGCTGCAGCTGTTGCTCTCGTCGCCCTTCACCACAGTCTCAGCCAGAGTGCTGCACCTCGTGTCCGGGGGAGATGACGGGCCGACTAGTGTGGTTACGGAGTGCAACCGCCTTTACGTCTGGTCCAGGTATGCTGCTGCTGGGATCTCGCGTTACTATCCTATCCTCACATGCAGCAGCATATGCTGCTGCTGTTGCTGTTGTCGCCCTTCACCACTGTCTCATCCAGAGTGCTGCACCTTGTTCGGGGGGGAAATGGGGGGGAAGTAATGGTCCGACTTGTGTGGTATGGAGTGCAACCGCATGTGCTCCTGGTAAAGGTATGTCGTTCTGTGTCAGCCAGAGTGCTGCATCTGGTGTCCAATTGACCAGTGTTGTGTGGGAGTGTATCCGCGGTATAATCTACACATGGTCCAACCAACCAAATACCTCATGACTAAACCAAGTGATGGCGAAATGAATGTCTCTCCCCCCTCCATCCATGCTCCCCTCCATCCATTCGCAGGTGCATTGATCAGCTACCACAAGTGGTGGACGAGCAAGCATCCTTGCAACTCATGTGCTACTATCGACCACAGATGACTCAGGTAGTTACTCTCGCCCAAGCAAAGGGCAACTCAGATGCCCAAGCCATGGGCAACTCAGATGCTCAAGCCATGGGCTCACTCCGTTTTTCGCCCCCCCTTTCTCAACTTTATTTTTCAGTGGCTTTTCTCCTTTCACCATTCTCCTCCACTTCCCCACGTGTTTTTCGTCCCTTCATCTCGTTTCTCGCCTCTCCCCACCTCCTGCCCCTCAGGTGTTTCGTCAGGTGGTTTTCTCCCCACACAGCACGCCATCGCACGCCATAGGGTGGCTCATGGTGGCCCAAGCCTTCCTGCACAACCTGCCGCACTCACTGCCGGACGAGGTGAGCTTACCCGTGGGGGAATTATTGGCAAACAGAACGACTGGGCGGCCCTCTCTTTGCATAGGGTGGCTCATGGTGGCCCAAGCCTTCCTGCACTGCCCACAGCAGTGCAGCACGCCGACTCTCTGCTGCATGCCGTCACGGGGGGGGTTGATGCCCTTCCAACCACACGGCATACATGGGCTTTAAGGCGTCCCATTTCCTCCCCATTCTCCTCTCCCCTCCTCCAATCCCCAGCTCCCCTCCCTCCTGCCCACAGCAGTGCAGTACGCAGACTCTCTGCTGCACGTCGTCATGGGGGGAGTTGACTCCCTTCTGTTTCACACGCCTGGCAGACCTCCGAATCCCCCCTTCTCCTCCTCTCCCCCTCTCCCTCCCCCCTTCTCCTCCTCTCCCCCTCTCCCTCCCCCCTTCTCCTCCTCCCCCCCTCTCCCTCCCGACCCCTCTCCAGCACGCCTCCTTGCTGCCCACAGCACTGCAATATGCTGACTCTCTGCTGCACGCCGTCATGGGGGGAGTTGACTCCCTCCTCGCTGCGCTACAGTCGGACCAGGGACTGGCTGGGCTACAGATGAAGGTAAGATCTGACTGGTGCTTGGTGTGCTACAGACGAAGACGAGACCTGGGGCTATTTGCGCCACAGATGGGGGTAAGACTTTCATTAGCTTCTGGCGAGCTAAGAATGAGATGAAGCCATGTGTGTGTGATGCACTCATGCTGCACGGTGTGTGTCTCTCTGTTCTCCCCCCTGTGCCCCCCTGTGTGTGCTGACCTGCAGACGCTACCAGCAGCAGCAGCAGTCTTGCTGAGTGCCACCACTAAAACCACGCCCACGCACCAACAGCACCTGCTGCAGCTGCTGCCAGGGAGCGAGAGCCTGCCCCACAACCGAGCACACATTGCCGGGTAGGTCCCTATGTTTGCGGGTATGTCCCTCCTATGGTTGCGGGTATGTCCATATGCTTGCGGTTGTAATGCCTCTAGTGCGCATGCTTCTGTGTCGTCATTCTTGTTTCCTCAGCCGCCTTTGTTTCTTTCTCCGCACTTCCCTTTTCCCCTTACTGCTCACTCCAGTTTCACCTCATTCCCCCCAGCACCCTCTCCTCCGTTACCCTCCCTCCAGCATCAGCCCATCCCCCCTCCCTCCCCCCCACCCCCCCCTATCCCCCTTCACCCTTCCTCCAGCATCAGTGCATCATTGCACAAGCTCATGGATCTCGTATCAGCCATTGACAGCCATTGACAGCCTTTCACCACTCAGAGTTGCCCCTCCCCAAAAGCAACCCTTTTTCCCCTTTCCCCCCCTCTTCACCTCTCCCAATTCACCCTCCCTCCAGCATCAGCGCATCGCTGCACAAGCTAGTGGATCTCGTATCGGCCATTGACAGCCTGCCACCTGTCAGAGTCGCCGACCATGCATTCGTGCCCAGAGAGGTACTTTTGAGATTTTTTTACTCTCATGCGGAACGTTGTGGAACACGTTGTGCGTTCGTTCCACAACGTCCTTCAGCTCTTTGGTTCACTCAGAAGACATCTCACTTTCTTTCCCTGAGAGGTACCCTCTCTTTTGTAGCACTGTTCTTCAACTTTACGCCCAGAGTGGTTAGCATCTCTGCAGGGGGGGTGGTAGAGTATGCTAATCCATCTTTCCCTCTGTCCCTCTTTCCAATTTTCCCTATCCCCTCCCTTACACCATCCATCTTGACCCTTCTAGTCTAGGCCTCCTCTTCCTTTCAATCCTGGATACACTCTGACCCTTGCACACTCACCCCCCTATACTCTTGCTCCCTATCCCCTGAACCCTGCCCCCCACACCAGTACCTAAGGGAGTGGTTGACCCGCCACTCGTGCCTGAGGATCCGCTCCGCCATCCTCCCCAATGGCCACCTGCAGCGCCCCTCCGCCTTCAAGTCCTAAACCCAGCTCCCTTCCCTTCCCCCCTGCCCCTCCCCCACACCAGTACTTGAGGGAGCGGTTGACCCGCCACTTGCGCGTGAGGCTCCGCTCCGCCATCCTCCCCAACGGCCACCTGCAGCGCCCCTCGGCCTTTGAGTCCGCCCTCACGCGCTTCCTCCTCCTGCTGCTGCTCCTGCAGCAGCACTGCTCCCTCGACCTCTCTAGGACCATCCGCGAGGTGCTTCTGGGGGAGGCGTTTCCCAGGAGGGAGGGATGGAGTGCGGTGGAGATGGGGGGAGGGGAAGGGGGATGGGAGCGCGAAAGCAGGAGGGGAGGGGAAGGGGGGGAGCAGGATGGGGAGGTGGTGTACGGAGAGCAGGTAGAGGGGGGGTGCAGGGACTTGCATCCGTTGTATCGGCCGGATTGGGAGAGGGAAAAGGTGGGGGGGAGGAGGAGGGGCATGGGAGGTGGGGGAGGGGAAGGGAGGGGTGGTAGTGGGAAGCACAGAGAGGTGGGAGGAGGGGTAGGGGAAGGGGCAATGGGAGGTCTGGGAAGCGGGGTAGAGAGGGGGGAAGTGGAGAGGGGAGCGATGGAGAGAGAAGGGTTGCAAGGCAAGGCAGTGTCCAGCATTTTGGATGCGAGGCTGAGGAAGAGCGGCGGGTGGAAGGGGAGATGGTCAGTGGGGTCGAAACCAGGAAAGGGCGCAGGCATGGGGATGGGCACGGGAACGGGTATGGAGGATAGCAGCATGGGGGAGGGATTCGGGGAAATGAGGGATGGTGAGAATGTAGGGGCAGGAGGGGCAGGAGGGGCAGGGGGGATGGGGGGGATGGGGGGGATGGGGGGGACAGGAGGGCACGGGGAAGCTTCTAGGCAAGTGGAGGAGGGAGGAGGGGAGGGTGGGTTGGGATGGAGTGAGGATGGGATAAGTGGTGGCGATGACAGCTTTGACGGGCCGAGTGCTGCTGTGATGATAGCCCGGTGGTACGTTGACAATATCGTTTGTGACTGTAACGATGCCGGGGTGCTGTTCTCCCCGTTTGATGCGACGTTTAGAAGCACAGCATGGGGGGGGAGCACAGCAGCAGCAGGAGCAGCAGCAGCAGCAGCAGGGGGAGGAACAGGAGGAGGAGCAAGGGCAGGCACAGCAGTCACTAGCACCAGCAGTCCAGCCATAGCCACTCTGGGTGCTTCCGCTGCTGCGTCTACTGCTTCTCCTGCCCATCTCACCCCCCCTTCCCATTCCATCCCTCCCGGCAACCTCACCCCTCCCGTGGCCTCATCTCCAGCCCTATTCCCAGGTGCAGCAGCCGCAGCAGGTGCTTTCAGCCCCATCCTCCCCTTCCCATCCCCTTCCACCAGCCCCAACCCCACCCTTTCCACTCCTCCCCTTCTCTCCACCCCATCTTCCTCCTCCTCCCCCACCACTTCGGCTTCCGCCTCTGTCTCGACCTTTGCTTCCTCCTCTGCTGTCTCTCCATACACTGCTGCTACCGTGTCCTCTATTCTCTCCTCTTCCCCCATCTCTCCTATCCTTAGCTCCCCAAATGTGACCGCTCCTGGTGCACTGGCTGCCGCTGCATCATCATCAGCAGCAGGAGGAATCGGAGCAGTGGCAGGAGCAGCAGGGGGAGCAGGGGGAGCAGGGGGAGCAGGAGGGGAGGTGGGGATAGGGACTCGACCAGTGATAGCCGAGCTGGTGGCAGATGGTGCTGAGCTGGCGGCGTTTGTGCGGCTGTTTGGATTCTACGGGGCCGATGAGCTGGCAGGGCGGGTGGTGCGGCCGGTGATCCTGCGCCTGCTCAGCCGGCTCGAGGCGATCCTCAGAGCGAACCGAGACACTCTCATGATGCTTGCTTCCAAGATGCACCTCTCCCCTCCCTTGCAGATCCCCTCTGCTGCTGCTGCCGCCGCCGCCACTGCTGCTGCTACTGCCGCTGCTGCTGCGAATTCCGCTGAGCCTTCAGCAGGAGGGGCAACAACAGCAGCAGCAGCACCAACGGCAGAAGCTCAAGCGGGTACAGGTTCAGCTGGTAAAGTCACATCCGGTGCAGGCACAACTGGCAGCGGCACGCGCTCAACAGATGAGCAGCAGCGGGCAGCAGCAGCAGCAGCCATAGCAGCCCCAGCAGAGGAAGCCCTCTCCATCTGTATCCAAATCGGGCACTGCCTCTCCTTCCTCCACGTCCTCTCCTCCTCCTGCTCCGCCACCCTCCACCACCACATCCCCCTCGTCCTCTCAGTTCTCACCTCCACCGCATCCCACCTCCCCCCGTCCTGCCCTGAAAGCGTGGCTGCAGGACAGCTGAGGAGGGTTGCTGCTAGGTGTGGGGTGGCGGGAGGGGTGGCTGGAGCAGCAGCAGTGGCGGCAGGAGGGGGGGTGGTTGCAAGTGGGATGGGGGGAGCGGGGGGGATGGCGGGGGCGGGGGGAGGGGGAGGGGAGGAGGAGGTGGGAGGGGGAGGGGGAGCAGACGGGTCATTCGCAGAGGTGCTCGAACTACTGATGGAAATAGGAGGGGTGGGGGATGCAGCATGGGCCATGCTACCGTTTCTTTTCGCAGTGATGCTAGGAGGGGAGTCGTGGCTCTCCTGTGCCTATCTCCCCGAAACGCAGGGGTTTTCGGACAATGCAAACTGCTTAATTCGCTCCATACACGTGCTTTTGGCTGGGTGTGAGCGGGCAGGAGCGGAGCGGAGGGAGTTAAAGAGAGATCTTCTAGCACAGCAGAGGATCCTCAGAGGATCAAATCGCAACTCGGAAGATTACGCTGACGATGACGAGCCGACCGACCTGGTCCGGCTGGCCGGCGGCGTGTGCAGCATGATGCGGACGTTTGTGCAGTACGCTGCGAGTTTCATCTTGAACTCCTGGGATAAGGGCCCGCGGGGCGCGTGGGCTTCAAGAGTGATCTTCTTGGACCACCTGTGCCTCTTCTCCCCGCATTTGCCACGCTCTGTGTTGGAACGCTACCTTCCCTACTCACTCATCCGAGCTGCTTACGATGCATACCACTCCCACCCTCCTCTCCCTCTCCCTCCTCCTCCTCCTCCTCCTCCTCCTCTGCTCTCACCTTCTCCCTCTCCCTCTAGGGTTCCTGATCCCTCTCCCACCCCAGCTGCTGATGGAAAAGCTCCTCTGTCTTCACTCCCCTCCTCCTCTTCCCTCTTTCCGCTCTGCAATCATCCCTCGGGCCCCTTTGCAGCGAGAAATGTTCGAGAAATCATCCAGCCCCCATCCCCTCCCCCCTCTTCTCCTCCCCCTCTCTCTCCCCAGCAAAACCCTCTCGACCCATTTTCTCCTCCACTCTCCTTACCGGGTGCCTTGTCAACCCAAGCTCAGGTGTCCACTGCAGTAGAGGGATTACCACCCAGCACCGATCCCAAACAGTCACTCTCCCAACAGTCACAGCTGCAGCTAAGGCTGAAACCACAGGGCCAGCAGTCAGAAGCGGAGGCAGCAGAGCAGCAACGCCCAGCATACGCGTCTTCGACACTGCTAGAGATAGCACAGACCAGGGGGTCTGGTGGCGTGGGTGGGGGGCGAGGGGGTCGAACCCCCACTGCCGCTGCTGCAGCCGCTGCAGCCGCTGCTGCTTCTGCTGTTTCTTTTGGCACCGGTAGTGGTGGTGCTGAGGATGAAGGGAATTTCTCAGGTGATTATTCAGGTGGGGCGTCACCAAGCCATGCGCCTGCCATGCGGTGCCTGCCCTCCCCACCTCAAGTCCAGCCCAGGAAGCATCACCACCATCACCACCACCACAGCAAGGCGCACTCTCCCTCTGCCTCCTCCCAGAGCCACATGTCTGGCCAGCTGGTCGATCCCACGGGTGCAGCAGGAACAGGAGGCACAGGAGGGGCAGGAGCAGCAGCAGGGAGACCCGCACCTGCATCACCAGCAGTGGCAGCAGCAGCAGCTGCCGCTGCAGCATCTCTCTCCCTCGCTGCTGCTGCCCCCACCGCTCTCACCCTTCCCGCTGCTGCTGCTGCTGCTGCTGCATCTGCAGCCCCTGCTGCTTCGTCCTCTGACTACCGCGCCCCTCCCTCTTCTACTTGGACCCAGATGAAAGCAAAGCCCAAGGCGAAGTCGGGTCAGCTGGTGTATGGGCTAGCCGGGCGAATGGGGAAAGCAGGAGGGGGAGGAGGAGGGGCAACAGGCGGAGGCATGGGTGTGGGGATGGGGTTGGGGATGGGGATGGGAGGAGGTGGGCGCGGAGGGGGAGTGGGGGGAGCAGGGGGAGGGGGGAGAAGAAGCAATACGCCCAGCAGGAGGCAGGTGCGATCTGGGCCGTTGGTTTCGGGAGCATCGCATGAGGAGATGGACGTTGGAGATGCTGCGATGGACATGGTCCGAACCACATCTGCCCATCCCCGTGCTAGTTCTGCTGCTGCTGCTGCTGCTGCTGGCACTGCGATCAACCAAGCATCTGCTGCTGACAGTGCGAACATCATTGATGTTGGTGGTGGTGCTGCTGCTGCTGCTGCTGGGGGTACTGCTGGTGCTGCCGGTGCTGGTGATTGGGAGTACTCTGACGATGGGTTTGATCAATTCGGGGAGGGGGACGAATTCTCTCCAGCAGATGTCTTCGCAGAGATTGGCCGCGCTGCTGCTGCTGGCAGTGGGGGGGGAGTTGGCCAAGGCACCTGGGAGACCCAAGATCGAATGGCGGGAGGAGGAAAGGGGGGAGAAGACGGGTCGGGAGATGCTACTGCACGTCGCATGCCGGCATCGAGGATCAAAGCGGCAGTGCTATCAGCCCTGGGGCTGGGGCGGAAATCTGGAGGGAAAGACGACCTCCGCCCCGCTCCTTCCGCCTCTTCTGCTGCTGCTGCTGCTGCTGATGCATTCATGAGCGCTAGTGGTGGTGGTGGTGCTGCTGCTGCTGGCAGTGGCGGTGTTGCTGTGCGTGCAAGCACGGGTGGCGTTGGCTGGAGGGGCTTTAGTGGGAATCTCAAACCCTTGTCCCCCGGAAGGAACAAGCGACAGGACCTGGGAGGACAGGGTGGAGGACCGGGAGGTGAGAGGGGGGGAGGGGGGGTAGAGGCAGTGGCAGGGGCAGCAGCAGGAGCAGGGGCAGGGGCAGGGGCAGGGGCAGGGGCAGGCGCAGGGGCTTGGGGTTTCGACTGGACTTTGAACGACATGCAGCAGCAGCTCCGGCAGCAGCTGCAGCAGCACCTGGACGGCCGCCGAGCCTCGCATGGAGGTAAGGCAACAGGTTCGGCAAGTGGAGTGTTGTCGGACGCAGGTTCGGTAGGGGCTGGTGGTGGTGGTACTGGGGTTAGTGCGCATGCTGAAGCCCCAGAAATGAGCTCCCGGGCTCAGGCGAATGCAGCCATTGCAGCTGCAGCAGCTGCTGCTGCCATTGGACTCGTGCCTCCATCACTCCAATCAGCAACAGAAGCAGCAGCAGCATCACGGCAAGAGGGTGGCATGTCTGCATTGCTGCGCGCTAGCAGCAGCAACAGCCGCATGGGTGCCAGCTCCACCCAAGGGAATCACTCTCTGGAGCTTCGCAAGTTTGGTGTCTCTGCCTCGGCCCCTCTGGATCCCCGTCTTGTTGCTGCTGGCGCCGCCCCTGCCTTCCCTGCTCTTCCCCCGGGCTTCCCTGTTGCTGCTGGCTTTCCTGCTGCCCCTGCTGCTGCTGACCCTGCTGCTGACCCTGCTGCTGCTGACCCTGCTGCTGCTGCCCCTGCTGCTGCTGCCCCTGCTGCTGCTGCCCCTGCTTCTGTTGCTGGGCTTCCTGCTGACTCTGCTGCTGGCAACACCACGATACCTGTCCCTGCTCCTACTTCTGCTGCTCGTTCCTCCTCCCCTGCTCGTGCCCAAGCTCCTCCAGCAGCACCCTCCCCTTGTTCCTCTGGTTTCCTGAGGCGGATAGAGGTGGAGAGGGTGGAGGGATTAACGTTGCATGAGCTGGACGCTAAGGTGCTGGGGCTGAAGAGCCTGAATATTCCCAAGGGGAAGGACAGGACAGAGGACGAGGTGTTTGACGAGGTACTTCCCCTGATTAAAAAGCTAGAGAAGTGAAGTAACCCAAGTGATTTCCAGAGGCTTTTTTGAGGAATTGGGGTTCCTTGAGCTACTTGCTTGAGCTACTTGCGCAAGGCTTTTTTTTCCAAAGGGCAGAGAGAAGAACCAATATTGGTTCATTCACCTTGCTTGGTTCCCCTACAATGTGATAGTGTATGTGAATGCAATAGGCAACGTCTGAACCCTATACCCTAAGCCCTGAACAATATGCCGAACCACGACACAGTGCACACAGCATGTGCCAATTGCTCTTTTTGCTTCCGCTCCCATTTTTCTGAACAGTGTGTAATGCAACTTATACATATGTTTATATCTAGAAGTTTTAAGCTAGATAGGCTTGTGTTCTTAGAGAGTACATCTCTAACCCTATATCTTCCTTGTACTCTCTTGTTCCCATCATTCTAGTATTCGAACATGGTATCATAAGTAGGTTAGGTCCGCCCACCCGCTTCCGCCCCTCGCGCTGCTAGCACTACCGCCCAGCTCACGGCCTTCCCCCCACCGTTCTGAGCTACCATGTAACTTATTGCCATGCGCGTGCCTGACCGCTTAGCCACTGCCCGCGACCACTTCCTTAGTCAGCACCTTGGCGACCTCACCCTGACCGCCTCTGTCACTGCTCTGTCTAAGATAGAGACTCGCTAGCGCACTATCGCTCAGCCGAGCGGTGTTGCGGCAGTCCCTATCTTACAGGGCTGTGCTCCCTCCCAGTGCACGTACGCAGATGTCTCCGCCGCTGTTGCCACGGCTGCCCCTGCCACTGAGACACCAGCTGCGGCTTTCCCGCAGCAGCGACAGCGTCGGGGCCGCCGTGGTGGTGGTGGTGGTGGTGGTGGCGGGGACACTGGTTCTGCCGAGGGGGTTGGAGCTGGTGTCCAGGAGCAACATCAGTTGCAGCAGACGCAGCAGCAGCAGTAGCAGCAGCCGTGGGCCCGCCTCCCGCCGGGGTGGCTAGGAGCCCGAGGAGGTCGTGGCCGCGGGGGTGGCCCTCGCAGCTCGGCATCTACCGGTGGCTTCGGTGCTGTGAGCTGCCAGTACTAGCTCCAGATCGGGCCCCTCCGTGGCACGGTGTGCCACCGCCCGCACCCGACCGCGCGCTGCTTCCGCCGCCTCGACGAGCTCTTCCGCCGCCTCGACGACCTCTTCCATCGCCGCTTCGGCCCGGCCCCGGACCTCCCTGACTGGCCCAGTGTGCTGCGCCACGGTGTGCCTGTTTTTGACCTAAACATGGATTAGATTAGTTCTGCCCTGCATTCTCTGTATGCTGACGCTTCTAGTGTGTCTGGATCTTATTACGCTGTGTTCTCTACCTTAGGCGTAGCACCTGTGTGTAGTCCAGACTCCCCTGCTGCATGAGGCGTAGGACTATTTGCTTTGTCTAGCCTAGGCTCTACACTCGCTCCTCCTTCATCTGCCGCTACTGCTTTCCTGTCCTTCACCCTTGACTCCGGTGCGTCAGCCTGCTTCTTCCACGACCAGCCACCCTCATGCCGCTTGCCGCGCCTGCCGCTGTCGCACTTGCTGACCCCTCCTCTGGTCCTGTCATTGCTCGCAGCTACACTACCCTTCCCTGTCCTGCAGTCTCCTTGGGTTCCTTTACAGGTCTTCACATCCCTTCGTTCTCCAGGAACTTAGTTTGTGTCGGCTACCTCGGCGTCACCACTACGTTCCCTGGTCACGAGCGGTACGCTGTCTGTACCGAGACCGCCTCAGGTGCCCCCCTTGCGACGTTCCCCTGGGACCCGGTGTCTGGCCTCTATACGCTGGACACTTCTTCCCCCCCGGTGGGCGCGTCCTCCCCGGGTCCTTCAGCTACCCAGGTTGCTGCGGCTTGCTCGTGTCGGTCGCTCACTCACCCATCGCTTCTGTGGCACCACTGCCTAGGTCACCCCGCACTCCCGCGTCTGCGTCACATGTCTCAGCACGGTCTCATCCTAGGTGTCACAGGATCGAATGTGTCGAGGAAAGGTTTGCTCAATGTTCCACTATCAATCAGTACAAGGTGCTTTTATACTTCCAGAGTACATCAGGTAACCAGGTTTATCCTATCCAAAGGGAATAGACCCTTCTAGAAATAGAATCACCCTGCGTATAGCCACGCGAGGCTATTGGCTTTAAGGGATTACGGCAGGATTACGCTAGATATAGCGCGCCAGTACATCCCGAGCCTGGTCGGTGATATAATCATAATAATAGGATAAACCAAAGGATAATGGAAAAGGAGGAATAGGAAACCAAATGAGATGAGATAAAGACCAAATGAATGAGGATAAAAAGAGGAATGAAATAGAAAGGAAATATGGAAAGGGGAAAATAGTGTAACGGGGTCGTACTCTCACACTTCCCCCCCTCAAAGCTGGGTGGTAGACGTAACACCCTGCTTGACAAGGTAGTCGCGAAGAGGACGACGGGCGTTACCCATGTCGAGTTCACAGACGAAGCCTCAGAAGTATCATAACCCTTCCAGCAAAGAAGAAGCTCCAGAGTGCCAGTCTGACGATGACGGTGTCCGAGCACGTAGTTGTCACATGGCGTGGATGAACACCGGCGGCGACGGCATTTGGTGTAGAGCGTGTTTGGTCTTGATAGGGTTTAAGAAGTTGGTATGGAAGGCGGTATGGATCTTCTAAGTGGCTGGTAGGCGGAAGCGGAAGTTGACTGAAGTGGCCCTTGCTTCAACGATGATAGACCCGCAGAAGCAAGGTTGAAGCTTGGATGGAAGTTGGCTGATGTCGAGATTATGGTGTGGATGACTGTAGTGATAAGGGGTCAAGTGCTTGTGCTGATGTTGGATGTCCAAGAGGGCGCTTGTGTGGTCGATGTACAAGATGGTGGACGATGGCGATGAAATCGGAAGCCAGTTGGACTGTGGCTAGTATGGTTAGCTGTTGTGGTGTGATCGGGTGGCTTCCGTAACAGACGAAGTACAGCGTCTGTCCAGTAGCGGCGTCAGGAGCATACTTATAGGCAAACTCCAGGACGGGCAGATGCAAGTCGGAGTTGGAGATGTGAATGGTTGGAACAGTGTGCTGTAACGTGCAGATGAGTGGCTATGTTGTCCGATCCTTGCATGCTGTTACCCGCATCTGGTCCACGTGTGAAGATCACCAAGTGGTGGTGGTATGGCAGTCGTGTCGTAGTACGGCTTCTATCGAGCTGGTCCATGCCTTAGTGTTGTCGCGAGTCGTACCCACTCGGCATCGTAGTGCTGCGGAATGGAGAGCAGAATCACTTGTAGTAATCCTGTCCACCGCGCGGTCTGCTACTCACATTGCCTTGAGTACAACAACGCATGCGAAGTGCTGCTCAGCGTATCTCTTGTGTTTAGAACCATGCGAGGGGTTGGTACCACAAACGCGGAGCTGGTAACTTCCAGAATCGGCGCCAAAGTATTTTCCCTCGGTGGTTGCTCACGCAAGGAATCTCTGCTGCGTAGATATCGGTTAGGATATCTGGGAACGTTACGGGTATTCCCAAGTAATCCTCTCCCATTTCCAAATGAGCATTGGTGACAGCCAATCCAGTATGACCTTATGCGCTTCCAGTTTAGCACGGAGGCCATTGGTAGGCATCGGTGTCTGGGCGCACATATTGGGATAGGTCTTCTGGTGCCATCATGTGTTGTCTTATTCTGCCACTGTCCTTGAAGTAGCGTTGATGTCGAAGATGTCTCAGCTACTCAACATCAGTGTTGAAGTCTGCTCCATTTCGGCAAACAGGGGTGTTGTTAGAGATACGCGGAGTCCACTATCCGGAGTGGCGTCGGCGCTCCATTCCACGCCTATCTGCTTCCGTGGAGTTGGTGCTGGTGATGGATTGGTTCTGACGCAGGTTTTATGACTTCAAGGAAAGCCATAGGCCATGAGGACTTGTAGACCGGTAGAGTACCGTTGTCCTCCCATCCTCATATGAGCAAATATCTTCCGCTCTTGAGGGTGTATGGCATTGCCATGTTGGTTCCTCGCATAGTGGTATCTCCTTCCCACTAGCTGGAAATCATAGGACTGTGCCTGGCCGGGACTTTACGATCCACTGGAATATAATCCAGCATTATCTCCATTGAGCGGAGAATCATCCATCAGGATTTGGTTGTGACTGTTGTGTCGAGTCTTCTGCTGCGGCGGCAGCGGCGGTAGCGACGACGGCGACGGCGGCAGCTGCTGCAGAGAATTCTCTTAACTCGTACCGGTTGAAGGAGAATCCATCAACTCCCCCTTCCCAGTAGAGTGTTCCTGATGGGTGTAACAGGCGTAACTACCAGGAACACGTGCACATTGGTACACATGTGTTGCTCCATTGCTGCCGGTGATTGTTTCATTTGAGGGTGTGAAGAGAAATTTGCTTCTCCCCTCAAAGTATCCACGGGTAGCAATTCCTGGTATGCTCATGTGTGCCTCCGATGTACGGTCGGTAGAGCGCGTGATCGTGTTGTAGTAGTCCGCATCTCCCTCATTTGTTGACACCTCGTGTTGCTTGGCGCTCTCCTGCATCGTCGAAGTTACGCTGATGCTTGTAACGCTTCGGCTGCTGGTAGAATCGCCTCCAATGCATGTGAGTAGGGTCGTTAGTGAACGAGTACTTGCCGGATTAGAGGTTAATTACTCCTCAATCTGTCAAGCATCGTGACGTGCACGGAATTTTCTTCCACGCAGGTCATTAACACCTGGAATCGCGACGCATGATTGGTGTGTCGCCTCGTGAGGTCGATGTTGATACTGCTCCAATCAATCACCTCGGATGGCTGAGATTCTTGATGAAGACGAATCGATCAGCTCCTGTTACGAAGTAGTGTCTCGCTGGCCTTGACGAGACGGGTTCACTGCGTCGTCGTTGCGTGCGAAATCTGCTTCTTCGCAGCAACTTGATGTTGGGAATATTGCAAGAGAAAACGGCTACTTCTCTGCAATCCGATTGGTTGTCGATCAATTATGAGAAGAAGTGTCTCGTGGATGGAGAACATGTCTTCACGCAGCTCCATTGTTTTTCCTGGGTGAAGATCCCGTCGTATTGATGTCGATCCTTTTTTAACGAAGATGACTTCGTCAAAATAAATAGATCGTTATCGACACTAGTCAGAAGATGCGTCGATTGTGCAGTCGCTGGACACGAATGTTGTCTCCACGATGATGTTTCCCATAGTGTAGTCTCTGCTGCATTCGTGCCGTTGATTCCGCACCGATCCGACGATCCACGTTCTCCTGTCATTTTTCTGCATGCAGATATTACCAAGTAGGTAATATTCTGGCAGATTTCTGACTCTGCAGATGATTTC